AACAGAAATAACATTGCCAAATTTGTTTTTTGAGGCCACAACCACCATGATGCTCAAACTACAAAGAAAGGGAATTACAATTCAATTGAACATTGATGCAAAAATTCTCAATAAAATATAACTGAATCCAAAAGCACATCAAAATGATCATCCACCATGATCAAGTAGGCTTCATTCTAGAGATGCAGGGGTGATTCAACATATGACAATCTGTCAATGTAATCCACCATATAAACAAATTGAAAGGAAAAAATAAACATGACCATCTCATTAGATGCTGTAAAAGCCTTTGACAAAATCCAACACCTCTTCATGATAAAAGTCTGGGAAAGATCAGGGAACCTACCTAAGCATAAAAAAGACAAATGGGCTCCCAAACTGATAGCTGGGAATCCAGCATTGGATCAACTCAGACCCCCTGAACATGGGTCTCAGTAAGAAGGCCTGAGCAGTCTAAGGGACCTCTGACAGTGGAACCAGAATGTATCCCCATGCACAAAAGGATTTTGGGAGCACATTCCCCATGGAGGAATAGTCCCTTTACCTAGAGGCAGGAGGGAGGGCCTAGTTCCTACTCCATATGACTTGACAGATTTAGATGACCTCTCCAGGAAGGCATCACCCTACATGTGGAGTAGGGATGGGTGGGATGGGAGGGTGGTCAGAGGGTCATGGAAGGGTGGAAGAGAGGGAGGAAAAGAGGGATGGAGAGGGTACTGGGATCGATATGTAAAATAAGAAAAATAAATAAATAGAAAAGAAATAACAGAATTGAAGGTGATCAAGGGGATACATATGGAAAAGGAAGAAGTCAGAGTATTTTTATTTGCAGATGATATGACTGTATACAAGTGACCCTAAAATTTTTATCGGGAAACTCCTAACAGCTGATACAGACCCTCCATGAAGGAGTTGGATATGGGTTTAACTGCAAAATATAATAATTCTGTAGCTTTATGTTCAAATGTAGAAATCAGGAACACAACATCCTTCACAACAGCCACAAATAATATATCTTGGTGAAACTCTAACAAAGCAAGTAAAGGACATGTATGACAATAACTGCAAATCTTTGAAGAAAGAAATTGAAGAAGATATCAGAAGATGGAAAGATCTCCCATCTCATGGATTGATTGGATTTACATAGTAAAAATGGTCATCTTACTAAAAGCAATTCTACAGATTCAACTCAATTGTTAATCCTACTGCTCCAGAATAAGACGACTACCACAATTTCAAGCCAAACTTGTACAGCCACTTGGAAATCAATATGGTGGTTCATCAGAAAATTGAGACTTGATCCACCTCAAGACCTCTCTATACCACTCCTGGGCATAAACCAAAACGATACTTCATTCTACCACAAGGACATTTGCTTAACTATGTTCATAGCAGGTTTATTCAAAATAGCCACAAACTGGAAACAATCTCAACTGGAGAATGGATAAAGAAAATGTGGTACATTTACACAATGGAATACTACTCAACTGTTTAAAAAACTGACATAAAATTTGCAGGCAAATGAATGGACTAGAAAAAAAATATCCTGAGTGAGGAAACCCAGACTCAGAAACATAAACATGGTATATACTCACCTATAGGTGGATATTAGCTATAAAGGAAAGGATATTCATGCTATAATCCACAGACCCAGAAAGCTAAGTAACAAGCAGGGTTGGGGGTGGGCACATGAATCTCTCATGGAAGGGGAAATAGTGTTTTCTCGTGAACTGGGAACAGTTAGGGATGGGAACAGGAGGGGTCAGTTATGGGGGACAGAGTGAGAGAGTAGTGAGAAAGATGACTGGAATTGGGGGGCTTTGGGGGAGCAAGGTAGAAACCTAGTAAATTAAAACTCACTGCAATCTATGAGGGTGATCCTAGAGCAGATTCCTAGTAATGGGGATATAGAGCCTGAACCAGCCCTCTTCTGTAACCAGGTATAGTAGCTTGAATGCAATTTGCTTTCATAAGCTCATAGGGAGTGGTAATATTGGGAGGTATGGCTTTTCTGGAGTAGAAAAGACCTTGTTGGAGGAAGTATGTCACTGAGAAGGTAGGCTTTGAGGTTTCATATATGCTCAATCTATGCTTGGAATCACAGTGTACTTCCTATTGCCTGTCAATCAAAGATGTAGAATTCTAAGCTACTTTTCCAGCACCATGTCTACCTGCACACTGCTATGTCCCACCATGAAGATAATGGACTGAACCTCTGAACTGTAAATCATCTAACTGTTTTCCTTTACAAGAGTTGCTGTAGTCATGGTGTCTCTTCACAACAATAGAAACCCAAACTAAGATACCAGCCAAACCTTCCAGTGGAGGGATCAACCCAGTCACAAAACTTATCACCTACACTTTCTCCTACATGCAAGATATGCTGGGTTAATGGTTGTACAGAACCTGTGGAATGACCAGCCAATAATACCTGATATAACTTTGGATTCACCAGAAGGAGCCAGAGACTGGATAATCCAGGGACTAGCATATAGTCAAGTACAACTGGTTTAAAAAAAAAAGTTGTCAATGAAATGACTCCCTTTCTTTCTTTCTTTCTTTCTTTTTTTTTTTTTCTTTCTTTTTTGGTTTTTCGAGACAGGTTTTCTCTGAATTGCTTTGGATTCTTTGGAGCCAGTCCTGGAACTAGCCCTGTAGGTCAGTCTGGCTTTGAACTCACAGAGATCTTCCTGCCTCTGCCTCCCAAGTGTGCCACCAATGTCCAGCTGAAATGATTCTTAATTACATACAACTATACTAAATGACAGGAGACTAGCATAATCGTCATTAGAAAGGCCTCATCCAGCAACTGATAGGAGCAGATACAACTAAATATTAGGCAGAGCTTGGGCAACCCTGAGGAAGAGAAAGGGGAAGGATTAATGGAGCCAGAGGGGTCAAGGACACCACAAGAACATGGTCCACATAGTCAACTAATCAGGGAACATAGAGGCTCACTGACACTGAACCAACAATCAGGGAGCCTTCATAGGTCTGACCTAGGTCCTCTGCATGTTAGTTATGGCTGTGTAGCTTAGTGTTCCTATGGAACTCTGAACAGTGGGAGTAGGGGCTGTCTTTTCCCTGTGTTTGGGTCCCCTTTCCTCTAATAGAGTTGCCTCATCCTATCTTGATATGAGGGCATGTGCCTAGTCTTACTGCAACTTGTCTTGCCACATTTAGTTGCTATCCTTGGGAGGCCTGCACTTTTCTGAAGGGTAAAAGAGGATTGGATCTGGTGGAGAAAGGCCGTGAGGGGGGATTCAGAAGAGAGGAGGAAGAGGAAACCGATGTAATCTATGAAAGAAGAAAAAAAAAAAAAAGAAAAGAAAAAAAAAAAAAAAGAAAGAAAGAAAAAAGAGAATAGAGTTCGGCCTGGCTGTGGTGGCTCATGCCTTTAATGCCACCTCTCTGGAGGTAGAGGTAGGTACATCTCTGTGAGATCCAAACTAGCCTGGTCTACAGAGGGAGTTCCAGGACAGCCAGAACTACACAGAGAAACCTTGCCTTGGAAAAAGAAAGGAAGGAAAGAAGAGAGGGAGAAGGGAGGGAAAAAGAGGGAGGAAAAGGAAAGAATAGAATTGAACTCCAGCTGTGTTATTGTTGGTTTCAATGTTATTTCACTACAAATTAGAATAACCTAAGTAGGGAACCTCACCTTTAAATGTATCCAGATTGCTTTGATTGATGTGGGAGGATCTGCCCCAAATGTGGGATAGTAAAGGGGTTGCCTGAGCAACTAGTGATTGTAGACCCTCATCCTTGCTCCACTCACCCACATGTGTGAGACAGCTATTGTGGGACTACTTTTATTGCGGAGGTACCCAACCCCTCAAGGACTCAGTAACTGCAAGGTTTTCAGTTATCAGGTGTAATTCTGCTGTTAACATTTTAAAGTTGACTTAATAAATTCCTTTTTATATATCTTACATATAATGTATTGATATAAACTTATATATGTATGTTTTCAACCATTAATTCTCTTTTCCTACAGATCCCTAACTGATACAAGCTATTACCAAAATATCTAGAACATTTTACAGTAACTATGCACACATACTATATGTGTGGTCTTAATAGGCAACTACAAGCCATGTGTTGCTACCTAGCATTTGAAATGTAGCATGTGCACAAGAGACTAAACCTTGCTTCAATTCATGTGACTTTTGATTCTATTATGTGTTCATGAATACCAGTATCTACAGAGTCCAGAATAGGGTATTTAATCTCCAGAGCTAGAGCTACAGGTGGTTTTAAGCCACCCAATGTGGGTTCTGGGTATGTTAACTCTGGTTGACTGCAAGAATAGTAAGCATTCTTAACTACTGAGCTATTGCTTCAGCCCCTAGAAACTGAAATTTTAAGTTCAAATATTATTGCCTTCATGTAGCTAGTGGCTCCTATATTGAATGGCTAGTATCTAGATCATAAATTTGTAGCAGCTTAAAATAAAAGCCACAAATGTTTGTGATTTTTTTCTATCTTATCTGTCTTCATAATTTTTTCAGCAAGGCTTGTCAGAATTCACAGTTTATAATGCAAAATATCAGCTTACACAGTCACTAATCTTTAGAAAAAATGGAAAAGGGGATATATTACTTACATATATATATGTATATGTATATGCACATGCATATGCATATGCATATGTATATGTATATGTATATGTATATGTATATATGTATATATGGTCTATGTTTTTCTAAAATGACACACCAGGGTTTCCTCACATTGTTGACTTTGCTTATGCATTGGTTTTTTTTTTTTTTTTTTTTTTTTTTTTGCTTGGATGACCCTTTTAATGGTGAAACTCATTAAAGTCACAACAATAACTGGCAGTTTAACTGCACCAAGGTTTTTGAAGACAATGGCTTCTCCACCCAAGCAATTATATAAATAAATCCCAAATGGAAACTTGGCACCACCCTGAAATTCTAACTTCACACTGTTGGGGAAGTTTACCAAGATGGCTTCAGAGTAGACTAACTTTACACAGCGCATTAAAAAAAAAAAAAAAAGACACATTTATTCAGCGTCATGATCAGACTATTACATTTAGCAACCAACAGCGTGGGTGAAAAAAGGTCTACAGTAAAACCCTTTGTTGGAATGCTTTACACTTTCCACAGAACAGAAACTAAAATAACCTGTTATATAATTAGTCACAAATACAGTCCTGGAGTTTTTTGCCCATATACATGAGTATTGTCTAACACATGTCTTCTTTGTAGCAGCTAGGCCCTGCCACCACTGTGCTTGGCTGAGTTCACAAATCTGTTGTAACCTGTAGCTTCTCTGGCTCTCCTCTCCTGCTAAGCTTTGTTTCCTGGCTGTAATTAGAACCTCCTGCCACTGCCATAGCTACTGCTGCTGCTGGAACCACCATAACCACCTTGGTTTCGTGGTTTAGCAAAGTATTGGCCTCCACCAGCATAAGGGCCAGAGCTTCTGCCTCCAAAATTTCCTCCCTTCATTGGTCCAAAATTTGAAGACTGATTGTTATAATTGCCAAAATCATTGTAGCTTCCACCACCTCCGAAATTGCTTCCGTCATTACCAAATCCGTTATAGCCATCCCCACTGCCACCATATCCACCACCACCACGGCTACCACCGAAGCCACCACGACCACTGAAGTTTCCCCCTCGACCAAAATTGTCATTGCCGCCAAAACCACCTCCACGACCACCGCCATAGTTTCCGGAACCACTTCGACCTCTCTGGCTGGATGAAGCACTAGCCATCTCTTGCTTTGACAGGGCTTTCTGCACTTCACAGTTATGGCCATTCACAGTATGGTATTTCTGAATAACAATCTTGTCCACAGAGTCATGGTCGTCAAAGGTGACAAAAGCAAACCCTCTCTTTTTTCCACTGCCTCTGTCCGTCATGATTTCAATCACTTCAATTTTTCCATACTGCTCAAAATAATCTCGCAAGTGATGTTCTTCAGTGTCCTCTTTAATACCACCAACAAATATCTTTTTCACAGTTAAGTGGGCACCTGGTCTCTGAGAATCTTCTCTTGAAACAGCTCTCTTAGGTTCCACAACTCTTCCATCCACCTTGTGTGGCCTTGCATTCATATCGGCATCCACTTCTTCCACAGTGGCATATGTGACGAACCCAAAACCCCTGGATCGCTTCGTGTTTGGATCTCTCATTACCACATAGTCAGTGAGTGTTCCCCATTGCTCAAAATGGCTCCTCAGACTCTCGTAGATTGTTTCGAAGCTCAGCAGCCCTCCAATGAAGAGCTTCCGCAGCTGTTCCGGCTCTTTGGGTGACTCCGACTTAGACATGATGGCAGGGAAATGAGAGCCTTCAGCGATGCTTCCTCGGCCGCGTCAACAGGCAGAAAGCTTTGCTTATGCATTGTAAAGGAACCCAATAATGTTATTTGCATTGTTGGAAGTTTATCAGCATCTCTGGCCTCTATTCTCTAGATACTAGTAGCACTCTCCTCCTAACAACCAAAAGTATCTTTGGACATTGTCAAATTTACCATAAAGTGAAAATAACTATCCATTAATTTGATGGCTATTTTAGGTCTCAAGTTGAACACATATGAAATTAATTAAAACCTAAGTGGCTGGGTCTACCTGTGTGGGATAATTTTTTCTAAATTTAATCATTTGACCTTGAGGAGACACACTTTCAATCTGGATCTTTTGAAGTAGGAGGATCCATTTTTAATCTGGGCCACACCTAGTATCACTCTATTTGAAGGGCATGAAAGAAGGATGTTTTTCTTCTTTGCCTGCTTGCTCTTGCTGGTAAGTCCATTCCTTCACTGGCATTAGAGCCTACCTACACTTTTAGGATCCTGGCTTATACAGAAGACCAGTTGAAACATCCAGCATCCAGCCTCATTGACTAAAAAGCTACTGGATTTTTGGACCTCTAACTGGAATAATAGCCATTGTTGGACTACCTGGAACACAGCCTGTCAGTCATTCTAATTATAACCATATGTATGTATTATATATAACATATGGGATATGTGATGTATTATATGTTCATTTTTTATAAGTTCTGTTCCTCTAGAGAACACTGACTAATATTTAGGTGAATGTACAAACAGTTTAGACAAGAGACTGTTAATAAAATAGTTCAGGTGAATTAGGTATCACTGTCATACTTGATTTCCTTTGCACACAACTTTGAATATCATCTCTACTGATTATTTTAATTAATTTTCTTGAGCTCAAGATTCTATAATATCTCTAGATATTATAATGTCTAATAGACATTATCACTTTAAAAATTTAACCCAAGTCTCACATACTTACTCTAGTTTTACCAATTTTAGTATAAAAAATGTGCTTTTAATAGTGTCCCACCTTTCCTTCATTCTCTTTTCCTTATACCACATATATCTGATTCCCTCTGTTAGTTCTTTCTTCCAAATATTACCACAAAATTACCTAATTATCTCGATCACTACTATTATGACACAATCCATGCCACCATTTCTCACCTGTATGGCTCATACCATACTGTCTATAAGTCTATGAGTCTAGTAAATATTTGTTGATTAAATGAGGGAAGTAATCACATTTGCTGGCAAAAGAACAGTAATCTAGAAAAATAATAATATTTAAATCTATTCTAAAATCAAATTCTAGTCTACCAAGGAAGTTATCTCCTTTATAGATTCTTACATTATTATAGTCAAAAGATCATAGATTTCTTTTCTCACCAAAAGGCTTCTTTAGGAGGTGGCTTGTTATGCAAAATTTGATATTTGATAGCTCAGACATTTACTCCAAATCTCCCTTGCAATCTTATGTTGCATTGTATATTACATAAAACACATCTACACATTTATTTATTTATTTTTTATTTATTATTACATACTTTTAGAGTCAACCTCTTTGTCTCTCTGTCTCTCTCTGTAATTCTGGCTGGCCTTGAGCTCCTGGCATTAATCCTACCTAAGCTTCCTATATGTTAGAATTACAGATGTGAGATGATAGGGGATGTTTTTGTGTATATGTGTTTCTCTTATTGGTTGATGGATAATACACTAATTAGCCAGTAGAGGCAGGAAGACAGATGGGACTAGGAGATGAGGAGAATGATGGGGAGAGAGGAGAAAGAGGCTGTGAGGAGACAACATGTAGAGATTGGGGAGACAGGATGTGCTAGGCCTTCTCTGGTAAGATAAGGCCATGTAGAAATACATAAATTAGTAGTTATGGGTTAATAATTAAAAAAGAAGTAGCCAGTAAGAAGATTAAGCCAACTGACAAATGGTTTAATAATTAATGTGTCTGTCTCCATGAGCTTATTTTGGAGCTAATCAACTACAGGATCAGGCTGGAAAGAAACTCTAGCCTACCAGTGAAATATCTCAGCAATCCTACATTTTTACTTTTAAAGAAAATAAAGCCATACAAGTCTGACAACTTTGATAAAAATAATAATGTCAGAGAGTAGAGGAAGACTTCTACAATACTCAACATTTTAAATATCATAGCCCGCTAACCCACCACTACTATTAAATGTCTCAATTTGTTCCTTTTCTCTATACAGAAAACTTGTTTTTCATGCAGTTTTTTTTATTTTATCACAGATAGCCAAGAATATTCTTTACTCATTTTTTTTACTTTGTTATTTGAATACTATCAGTTACTTCCTGTGTGATAGGCTTCCTACTGGATATTGGAAATACAACAAAGTCACGTAGCTGACAATCTAGTGCCTTTGTGTAGGACTATCTGTGAATCAGACTAATCTAGGTTTTATCTGATGAGTACTAGAAAAGAGATTCATTCACCCTATTAATGATCCACTTCAGAAGAACAGATGTTGTAGAGGCATATGAACCTCTCATATTTTGTTTCATGGGGTGGTGTGCTAGGAGGGATCTGCTGTATGTGATGGCTTCCTTTCTTCCATTATTCAATGCAGAATCCACCCGTCTCTCCCTTACATCACTTATCCTTGTAAGGATGTAGCTTGCATCCATTCAGGATGTCTATAGGAAGTTACCCACAACAAAGGAATTCCCTATTTAGGAATATTTTTTCCAGATGTTGAAATCCTTGATGCCCTTGAAACTCAAACAGTCCCAGTAGGAGAACACCCCGTTATAACTTCTTCTCCAAGGCAAGATGTTTACTATTGGTTCTCTAATAGCTGTCCTAGAGGGAATGTGTTGCTCAAGACTTGGGACTTCTTTTGAAATGGAGGTCTCTTTTTCCTCTTTAATTTGGTGTCTCTGCATTGTGTGTATGAATTGCTATAGTTTTTGATACATTTGGTGAGAATAAAGTCACTGGCATGGTTGTGTGAATTATTTGTTCCTTTCTGGAGAGGATTTCCCAATAACATAAAGAGAAGGCAGCCTAGTTTTTATTTTTATTTTTTTTATACAGGGAAAATGAGGTCTTTCCTAATCTCTTCTTTCCAAGGACATTTGCTGGAGACCTTAACAAAAACCCTCCAACAAAAACCCTCCTCAGTAAACCAGCAAGATGGGCATAATGGAGGAGATTCTTGCTCACTCTTCCAAGTACTGGTTCAGGGCTCAATCTTGCCTTTAGCTATTTTTCAGGAGGAAAAAAAATAGCTTTTTAGTTTTTATATTTCTTCCCAAACTCTCCTTTACAACAAAAAGTATACCTGTTCTTGGGTCATAGGAAGCTGAGTGTGCTTGTTAGTTTCTCCACTGTAACACCTACCTCATTAAATTGACACACATAGGCCTTTAGCTCTTTTGTTTGCATTTGTAAGGTTTATAATTTTCTTTGGTGGGTGATACCTTCCAGAGGGATCAACAAAATCTGTCAAGTCATTTGAGTAGGGACTAGGCCCTCCCTCCTGCCTCTAGGCTAAGGGAACATCCTTCCATGAGGAATGTGCTCCCAAAGTCCTTTTGTGCACTAGAGATACATCCTGGTTCCACTGTCAAAGGTCCCTTTAGGCTGCCCAGGCCTTCTAACTGAGACCCATGTTCAGGGGGGTCTGAGTCAGTCCCATGCTGGTTTCTCAGCCATCAGTCTGGGGGCCCATTAGCTCCTCCTTGTTCAGGTCAGCTGTCTCTGTAGCCTGGTCTTGTCCTCCCTTTCTGCATTTGGATTCCAGTTCAGCTCAGTGTTTAGCTGTGGGTGTCTGCTTCTGTTTCCAGATGAAGGTTCTATGATGGCAGATAAGTTAGTCATCAATCTCATTATCAGGGAAGGGAATCTAAAGTAGCCTTTCCACTGTAGCTCAGATGATTGTTAGTTGGGGTCATCCTTGTAGGTCTTTGGACATTTCTCTATAAGAACCTGTTGTCTCCCAGAGTGTAAGAAAGTGCAAGAAAGGCTATCACTGAGAGGTACATGATTCATCTTCATCTGGAAGGTATGGAAGCAGGTTTGACTTCAGTTTGCTCTCACTTTATAAATTCTTGCAATAAAGGAGCCACAATGATGAATGACACAGGAACTTAAGTTTGCTCTTTTCAGTTTTGTGCCAATGTCAAGAGTATCCCTTAATCATTATATACATAACAGTCATACTAAATTCATGCATTCACATATACAAATTCCTAGCATTGTTGAAAACTATTATTATATCTGGTTTATAGGCATTCAGACAGCAAGTTTCTCCTTTACAGGAACATTAACCATCAGGGGGACTTTGGTCCTTCCTTTCTATTATCTAGGCCTCAGAGGGATCTTTGGCGAAATGCCTGCAAAATGGTCACAGATTATTTCATTCAATACATCATCTGCTTGCTAAGCACATGCAAGGATTTGTCAAAAAACAAACAAACAGAAACAAAATAAACACACTGTAAAATTCACAGTATTTCAGAAAAACTGGCGTGTTTAATCCCAAGTTGGGCTGTATACACCTACTTCAGGTTTTGCAGCTCCGTCATTCAGAAGCTCAAAGGCTACAGGAAGCTAAAAGTGAAGCCCTGAAGTCAAAACTAGCACAGAATCTAGTTAAACACATTCAAAGGTCTAGATACCCGTCCAGCCAAAAGAAGTAAATCTCAAGGGAAGGACCCCAGATTTCTGTATCTGTCCAGTGCACTGCAACTCAATCCATCCGCATAGAGGCATGGCTTCTTTAAGAAGCCAAGCTCAGGGCGGAGGCACAGCGCTCACGTGATCCAGCGCAATTCGCAAGCTTGCGGAAGCCGCTCAGCGGTCCAGTTGCCGGGATGGTGCAATTGTACAACCTCCACCCATTCGGGTCGCAGCAGGTGGTACCCTGCCAGCGGGAGCCGGAGCAGTTCTGCTGTGGCGGGCCAGACGCGCTCTTCGTGGCTTCGGGCTGCAAAGTGGAGGCGTTCGCGGTGCAGGGAACAGAGTTGTGCCAACCGCGCTGTTCCTTCTCCACGCTGGGCAGGGTGCTGCGCATGGCCTACAGTGAAGCCGGTGAGGAGCGGCTTTGGGGCGGGGCTTTGGGTGAGGAAGGGGCTGGTACTTTCCCTTACTACCTGCTGGAGGTCTGTGCTGGTCTTGAAGTTAATTGCTGTAGATGGTGTGTGCAGTTGTTATAGCAACCACAGATTGGTGGAGTGTTTACCTAGTTTGCCTGAAGCCTTGGGTCTCTTCTTCTGCACAGAGGTTGTTCAACTAGTTATCTAAGCACCTGGGAGGTGGAGGCTGGAGGATCAGAAGTTTAAGGTCATCCTCCCATATTTAGTGAGTTTCAGACTAGCCTGGGCTACAGGTAATCTTGTCTCAAAGCAAAACAAAACAAACACTCCACACAGACATAGGTCTACAGTGGAAAGAGAACATTGATTGATCCCCTCCATGTCTTGAATTAAAGGCCTATGGCTGGGTTCCGCTTATGCCAGACCCTTTCAGTGTAAGAAATGTCAAACCCTGCACTAAAGAAAGAGGAGGGAAAATGATATCCTAAAGTTCATGGAATGCTCTACCTAAAAAGTTATTCTAAATCATAGCCAGCCCTTATGTCAGTAAGTCACTGTTACTTGTTGGTGGATTGACTTCTGAAATTATTTTTAATTTAAAAATTTTAATTTATTTTTATCACATATCGATCCCAGTTCCCTCTCCCTCCCATCCTCCCATGCAACCCCCCCCCCACCTCCCTTCCCCATCCTGTACCCTATCCACTCCCCAGGGAGGGTGAGGCTTTCCAGGAGGGATCATCAAATTCTGTCAAGTCTTTTGGGGTAGGGCCTAGGCCCTCCCTGTGTCTGTAGGCTGAGTATCCCTCCATGGGGAATGTCCTCCCAAAGTCCGCTTGTGCACCAGGGATACATCCTGGTTCCACTGTCAGAGGTCCCTTAGACTGCCCAGGCCTCTTAACTGAGACCCATGTTCAGGGGGTCTGGGTCGATCCTATGCTGGTTTCACAGCTATCAGTCTAGGGACCATGTGCCCCACCTTGTTCAGGTCAGCTGTTTCTGTGGTTTCTCCAGCCTGGTTTTGACCTCTTTGCTCATCACTTCTCTGTCTCTGCAACTGAATTCCAGGAGTTTAGCACAGAGTTTAGCTGTGTCTGCTTTTGCTTCCATCAGCTACTGGATGCAGGCTCTAGGATGGCATATGAGGTAGTTATCAATCTCATTATCAGGGAAGGGCATATAAGGTAGCCTCTCCACTATTGCTTAGATTGTTAGTTGGGGTCATCTTTGTAGGTCTATGGACATTTTCCTAGTGCCAGATTTCTTTTTAAACTTATAATGGCTCCCTCTATTATGGTATGTGTTTTCTTGCTTTTCTCTATTCTTCCCTGGAATCAGTCTTTCTGTTCCCTCCTTTCCTCCGCTCCCCTCTTCTTCTCTCCTTCTCTTTCTCCTAACTCCCTCTCTCCTCAGTGCCCCCACCCAATTTGCTCATTACATCTTGTCCCTTTTCCCTTTTGTGGGGGACCATGTATGTCTTTCTTAGGGTCCTTGTTGTATCCTAGTTTCTCCTCCAGTGTGAACTGTAGGCTGGTAATCCTTTGCTCTATGTCTAAAATCCATATATGATATGAGTGAGTATATACCATGTTTGTGTTTCTGTGACTGGGTTACCTCACTCAGGATGGTTTCTAATTCCATCCATTTGCCTTCGAACTTCAAGTTTCCAATCTCCCCCACCCCTGTAAATGTACCACATTTTTTTCATCTATTCTTCAGTGAGGGGCATCTAGGTTCTTTCCAGGTTCTGGCTATTACAAGGAATGCTGCTATGAACATAGTTGAACAGGTATCTTTGTTGCATGGATGTGCATCTTTTGGGTATATACTTAAGAGTGGACTTGGTGGATCTTGTGGTAGACTGATTCCCATTTTCCTGAGGAATTGCCATATTGATTTCCAAAATGGCTGTAAAAGTTTGCATTCCCACCAGCAATGGAGAACTTCTGAAAATTCTTAAATACATGTGTGTGTAAGACAAAGATGTAGGCCCCACTCTTTCAAAAGCACATTTATTCTAAAATTTGAGGCAGTGGGTGGTTTTCCTTGCCTGTCATTAGTGTTGATTCCTGGGGTCCTTGCATTGCTGCTACTTGTGCCTAAGAGTCATTTAGAAAGCATAAAAGAAAGAAAGAAAGAAAAAAAAAGCTTCCATCCTCGGGCCACACCTTGGGAAACAGTGTTAAGTTTCTCTAGAATGAAGCTAACATTGGAGTGTTTCAAATGCTTGGCTGGGTTGGGTACTAAAGATTTGAGCCACACTCACTGTAGGAGGATAGCACTAAACTGTGATAACCTCATTAATGAAACCTTGAAGAACAAACATGCTTTTGTAATCAAGTTGAACGCCTTAAAGAACTTCAAGAGTCATGTAACTTCTTTTAATCCATGCATGACCAAACATCAATAGGCTTACTCCTGGCTGTGCCTGTTTCCAGAAAACCTGCCTTTTCTCCTTTGGCCTTTCATTTTTTGTTTTTTGTTTTTCGTTTTTTTTTTTTTTTCATATTCTCAGCATGTGGACCTGGGGATTTGTGTTCTCAGTGCCTAGTGTCCTCTGCTGTAGCAAATCTCCCCTTGTTTTGTAGGTCTTCTACTCAAGTAGAAAGTATTTTCTTGTTCTTACTATTAGTTCCAAAGGAAACCCCAATCCTGAAACTCCAAAAGGCAGTTCAAATATCTAGAAATGAGGACTATAGGGGGATTTCTGGTAGTTGGATAAAAGCCAGAATTTCATGAGAACTTGTGAAGCTGATTCAAAAGGAGTCATTTCCCTTCCCTCCAGCAAAAGGGATGATGGTTCTCCAATTAACCTATGGTAACTATCAGCATGTCAAGGTTCAGCATGGCCTCCAGGCTCCCTCAGTCCATATTCACAAGTACCTGTTACATCATGGTGACCAGAAAGTAAAGTGAAACTGTAACTGTTGGGTCATGCATGGATTTATGTTGAGGTCTTTGATCTATTTGAATTTGAGTTTTGTGCATGACGATAGACATGGGTCTATCTGCAGTATGCTACACACCATCATCCAATTGTGCCAGCACCATTTGTTGAAGATGTTGTCCTCCCCCCATTGAATTTTTTTAGCTGTTTTGTCAAAAATCAGGTGTTCATAGGTGTGTAAGATAGTATCAGGATTTTCGATTCGATTCCATTGGTCTACCTGTCTATTTTTGTGCCAATACCAGGCTGGTTTCAGAACTATAGCTCTGTAGTAGAGCTTAAAGTCAGGGATGGATTTGCCTCCTGAAGTTCTTTTATTGTACAGTGTTGTTTTGGCTATCCTGGGTCTTTTGTTTTTCCATATAAAGTTGATTATTATCCTTTCAAGGTAAGTGAATTATTGTGCTAGGATTTTAATGGGGATTGCATTGAATCTGTAGATTGCTTTTGGCAAGATTGAGATGTTTGCTATATTTATCCTACCTATCCAAGAACATGAGAGATCTTTCCATTTCCTGGTATTTTCTTTAATTTCATTCTTTAGCGGGACAAAGTTCTTATTATGTAGGTCTTTCACTTGTTTAGTAAGCCTTACCCCAAGATACTTTACATTGTTTGTGGCTATTGTAAACGGTGATATTTCTCTGGTTTCTTTCTCAGCCTACTTGTTGTCTGAATAAAGTAGGGCTACTGATTTTTTTGAGTTTATCTTGTATCCTGCTAGTTTGCTGAATGTGTTTATCAGCTGTAGGAGTTCCCTGGTAGAGTTTTTTTTGGGTCACTTATGAAAACTATCATATCATCTGCAAATAGAGACAGTTTGACTTCTTCCTTTCCAATTTGTATCCCCTTGATCTCCTTTTGTTTCCTTACTGCTTTAGCTGGAACTTCAAATACAATATTGAAGAGATATGGAGAGAGAGGGCAGCCTTGTCTTGATCCTGATTTTTGAGCAATCATCTTAAGCTTATCAAACATTCAGTTTGATGTTGGTTGTTGGTTTATTGTATATTGCTTTTATTATATTTAGGTATTTTCCTGTTATCCCTGATCTCTCCAAGACCTTTATTATGAAAGAGTGTTGGATTTTGTCGAAGGCTTTTCCAGCATCTAGGGAGATGATCATATGGTTTTTCTTTTTCAGTTTGTTTATATGGTGGATCACGTTGATAGGGTTCGTATGTTAAACCATCCCTGCCATCCAGGGATGAAGCCTACTTGATCATGGTGGATGATTTCTCTGATGTATTCTTGGATTCTGTTTGCCAGTATTTTATTGAGTATTTTTGCATCGATGTTCATCAGGGATATTGGTCTGTAGTTTTCTTTCTTAGTTGTGTCTTTGTGAGGCTTGGGTACCAAGGTGATTGTGGCCTCGTAGAAAGAGTTTGGTCATGAACCTTCTGTTTCTATTGTGTGGAACAATTTGAGGAACATGGGTATTAGCTGAAGCCATCTGGCTCTGGGCTTTTTGGTTGGAAGGCTTTCAATGACTGCTTCTATTTCATTGAGGGTTATAGGTCTATTAAATTGTTTGTCTGTTCTTGATTTAATTTTGGTAAGTGATAGTTATCCAGAAATTTGTCCATTTCCTTTGAATTTTCAAATTTTGTGGAGGACATGTTTTCAAAGTATATCCTGAAAGTTGTCTGGATTTCCTGTGTGACCATTGTTATGTCCCCCTTTTCATTTCTGATTTTGTTAATTTGCATGGTCTCTCTCTGCTTTTTCTTTATTTTGGATAAAGGTTTGTCTTATCTTGTTGATTTTCTTGAAAAACCAACTCTTTGTTACATTTTTTTTTTGTATTGTTTTCCTGGTTTCTATTTTATTGATTTCAGCCCTCTAATTAATTATTTCCTGGCGTCTACTCCTCTAGGGTGAGTTTGCTTCTTTTTGTTCTAAGTCTTTCAGTTGTGCTGTTAATTCTCTAACATAATTATCCTCTGTTTTCTTCATATGGGCACTTAGTGCAATGAACTTCCCTTGTAGCACTGCTTTCAAAGTGTCCCATAAGTTTGGGTATGTTGTGTCTCGTTGAATTTTAGAAAGTCCTTAATTTCTTTCTTTATTTCTTCTTTTTCCCTGGAGTGGTACAATTGCACATTGTTCAGTTTCCATGCGTTTGTAGGGTTTCTGTGATTTGTGTTTTTATTGAATTCCAATTTTAAAACATGGTGGTCTGATAAGATACAGGGACTATACCAATTCTTTTTTATCTGTTGAGTTTTGTTATGCCACCTAGCAGAGAAAGTTCCATATGGATCAGAGAAGAATGTATATTCTTTTGTGTTTGGATGGAATGTTCTATAGATGCTTGTTAAACTCAGTTGAGACATAACTTCTGTTATTTCTTTTGTTTCTTTGTTGAATTTCTGATTGGTGGTCCTGTCTAATGGTGTGAGTGGTGTGTTGAAGTCTTCCACTATAAGCATGCGAGGTTTTATATAAGGGTTGAGTTTTAGTAGCATTTCTTTTACGAATGTGGGTGCCTTTGTATTTGGGGCATAGATATTCAGAATTGAAACTTTGTATTGATAGATTTCTCCTGCGATGAATAAGAAATTACTGTCTTCAATTCTTTTGATTAAATTTGGTTTGAAGTCAAACTTATTAGATATTAGAATAGCCACACCTGTTTGCTTCCATTTGATTGGAAGATCTTTTCCCAACCCTTTACCCTGAGGTAATGTCTAATTTTTGAAGCTTAGATGTGTTTCTTGTATGCTGCAGAAGGATGGATTCTGTCTTCGTATCTATTCTGTTAGCTTGTGTCTTTTTATAGGCCAGTTAAGACCATTAATGTTGAGGGACAGTAAGGACCATTGATTGTTAATACTTGTTTGTTTTAGATTTGTTGGTGGCAATGGTATTGTGAATATATTTGTACTGCTTTACCCTTGGTTTCTGGTGAAGTGGGATTATCTGTTGCCTATGTCTTTGTGTGCATATTTAATTTCCTTGGGTTGGAGTTTTCCTTCCAAAACTTTATGTAGGGCTGTATTTGTAGATACGTATTGTGAAAATCTGATCTGGCTTTGTCATTAAATATCTTGTTTTCTCCGTCTATAGTGATTGAGAGTTTTGCTTGGTATAGTAGCCTAGGCTGGTATCCGTGGACTTTTAGTACTTGCAGAACATCTATTCAGGACCTTCTGGCCTTGAGAGTTTCCATGGAGAAGTCAGGTGTAATTTTAATAGGTCTGCCTTTATATGTTTCCTGTCTTTTTTTCCTTTGCTGCTCTTAATATTCTTTCCTTATTCTGTATGTTAGGTGTTTTGATTATTATAGGTTGAGGGGTCTTTTTTCTTTGGTCCAGCCTATTTGGTGTTCGGTATGCTTCTTGTACTTTCATGGGCATGTCCTTCTTCAGATTTGGGAAGTTTTCCTCAGTGATTTTGCTGAATATGTTTTCATCACCTTTGAGCTTCCTCACCTTCGTCTATGCCTATTATCCTTAGGTTTGACCTTTTCATGGTGTCCCACATTTCCTGGATGTTTTGTGTTAAGAATTTATTGGATTTACGATTTTCTGTGGTCAATGAATTTTCCCTTTAGTTTATCTTCCGCTCCTGAGTTTCTCTCTTCCATCTCTTGAATTCGGTTGGTTATGCTTGCATCTGTAGTTTCTGATCATTTCCCCAGTTTTTCTATTTCCAGCATTCCTTCAATTTGTATTTCCTTTATTGTCTCTATTTCAGTTTTCTAGTCTTGAACCGTTTCCTTCACCTCTTTAATTGTGGTTTTTTTTTTTTTTTTTTGGCTTTCTGTACTTTCCTTAAGAAATTTGTTCATTTTTTCCAATTTTTTGCTTATCTTTTCTTCCATTTCTTTAAGGGATTTTGTCACATCTTCTTTGAGGGCCTCTATCATTTTTATGATGATAAGTTTTAAGTTGTTCTCTTCTGCTTCATCTGTTTTGTTGTGTTCCGTTCTAGTTGGTGTGGATTCCCTAGATTCTTGTGGTGTTATGCTTGTCTTTCTGTTGTTAGGTATTTTCTTTTATTGCCATCTTCCCATAGCTTCTTCCAGTAGGTGTTGGTGGGGTCTCTCCCTCTCTCTATGGTACTTCCCAGTGGGTTTAGGTGGGTCAGAGGTTCAATGTCTGTAGCTCTGTGTGGTCCAAGCTCTCTAGGAGGTCTCTCCACACCCAGGGGCCCAGTGATGGGGGTCAAAGATCAGGCTCCAGGAGAAGACTGGCAGTGGGAGTCAAAGATCTCGAAGGTTGTGACCTAGGATGTTCCTTAAGCTGATAGGCAGATCTAGCCTGTGCTTGGCACTCTCCAGCTGAAGCCTCTTTGGCAGAGGCCCTGTGGTGGGGGTCAAGGATCCAGCCAGCAGGAACTGCAGAAATAGGCAAATCCCTGGGAGGGGCCCAGTACTCTAGTAGAGGACTGGCAGTGGGGGGTTAGAGACCAGGCAGGTAGAAATTATGGGTGGTTCTGCGTGGATAGGCAGGTGCAGTGTGCTCAGAGCCGCTCCAGGAAATCTCCCTCCCCCCATTAATTCAGTTCTTAATGAGCAAATGAAACTGGAGTGTATAGGCAAGTGACAGAGTATTTGCCTTACAGGTGGTGCTGGGTTTGAGCCCCAGCAGTACACAGCAAAAGACTTGAATAAACATTTCTCTGAAGAAGACTTACAAGTGTGTATAAGCACACAAAAGGGACTCCACATCCCTAATCATCAGGGAAATGCAAATTAAAGTTCCAGTAATACACTCAAACCCCACAGTATAGTTCTTATTTAAAAAATATCATAAAGTATCTGGTTGTGATACTCAAGAGCCCAAGATAGGAGGATCTTGTCAAGTTTGATGACATCCTGGGCTATGTAGTGAGTTCAAGTTGCTACTGGGATATATAGTATGCATGACCCCTGAGGTGGTAGGAAACAAGAATATATAAATAGTTTTACTGGCAGTCTTAATTTCAGTTCTCTAATTATGGTGGTAACTTGACAGTTTCTATAAAGTTGAAAGTACCCTTGGTCTGTGTCCCAACTTAAATTTCCAACGTAAAACAAATTATATAGGCATTGGCTTATTTGTTACAGAATAAAATATAGTGGTAATTCCTATGTTAATATGGGGATTATTAAGAAGCTATGGCACATGTGTATATAGGATATTTTATAGATATCAACTTATCTGTGTTTTACGTTGTGATGGTGGGTTGTGGATAGCCATTTATTAATGTGGAAGAAAAGATTTATTTACTGTTTAAATAATTGAAGGTGGTTTCTTCGACTTCTTTCCCCAAGAAAGTTGCTAACATGTATGCTTGAGGTTGTTAATTTATAAAGCAGGTATTGTTTCAACAAAATGTGATTATTAAGTTAAACATGAATTTGAAAATGGCACATTGTTAAATAGATTTGCATGATATATAAAGAAGACAAAAAAACCTTTCTTGACCCATGTTTATATGAAAGAAAGACCCAGAGTCCCTTAATTCTTACCTAAATTTTGTAAGTTACACTAATATTGCTGATGCAGTTTAGTCAGTTGAGCTTTCAACTGTGATAAGAGTTAATAGAGTAAAATGGAAAGTTTCTTTGTTATATGAATAATAAAGGAGTTGTGGTATGACACTCAGATGGGGAGAGACTGTATCTCAGAACTTTCATGGCTGATATAATTTAACACACCTGTCACTTAGAGGGCAGCTTTGTCCTTTTGTATTACACATTCCATTTTTAGGCAGCAAAGTAAGTGGTTGAATTTCTAATTCCAAATGCAATCTTGCTTCCTTTTTAGGAGACTACCTGGTAGCAATTGAAGAGAAAAGCAAAACTACATTCCTGCGTGCTTACATGAACTGGAGGAGTAAGAGAACTGAAAACTCCCGCGTGTGCATTCGAATGGTTGGGCACAATGTGGAGGCACCCTTCTGTGAAAGCTTTAGAGATCAGATGTCTATAATTGAAATGCCTTTGTCTGAGGCTCCTTTGTGCATTTCATGTTGTCCCGTGAAAGGAGATCTACTTGTTGGCTGCACCAATAAGTTAGTCTTATTTACTTTGAAGTACTGTGTCATTAATGAGGAATTCTCAGTGTTAGACTTCGAACGATCATTAATTATACACATAGATAATATCATTCCTGTTGAAATTTCTTTTTGTGTTGGTTATGTTGCTGTCATGTCTGACTTAGAAGTCTTAATCCTAAAACTGGAGTCAGACCCTACAAATGGAGAGAGAGTTAAACACCACCCTCAAAAGACCAACAGCCAACTGAAACAGATGGAAGGTAAATGATGAATTTGACTTTCTAAAGAACCCTAGCAGCTATGGTTTGTCACTATCTTTATAGGTTTAGGTGTTCTTCTTATATTGGTTTTGTTTAGTGGCTATCCACAGCTTATTCTGTTTCTACACCCAGCTGACCTGGAACTCACCTGGTTCAGGCTTGCCTCAAACTTGGGATCTTCCTGTCTCAGGCTCCCGTGCCTAGGCATTATAGTTATGGGTCCCTATGCCTGCCCTACATGAGTTTCTAATCTTTGCTGTCATATTTGATATTTAATGACATTGGATAACATTATCCTGGTTGCCTTTTTGGGTCCCCAACTTTAGCTAGAATTTTTAAAGAATTAACTTTAAATGAAATAATGTCTCTATAAGGCTGACCTGTAGGTAAGCCTGTGGGAGCATTTATTAATTATTGATGTGAGAGGGCCCAGCCCATTGTGGGTGGTGCCACCTTTGAGCAGGTAGTCCTGGGGTATGTAAGAAAGCAGGTTGAGCAAGCCATGGGGAGCAAGCCAGTAAACAGTACTCCTCCGTGGCCTCTGAATCAACTGTTCCCCAGAGTTCCTGCCCAGACTTCCTCAGTGATGGAGTATGATCTGAGTTGTAAATGGAAACAAACCTTTTCCTGTTCAAATTGCTTTTGATTATGATGCTTTATCACAGCAGTGTAAACATCAAGGCACGTGCCATGTCCAGTGTTCACTCAGGCAGATGATAGTACTTATAGTTGTGAAACCCTAAAATTTTATTTCTTAAAAGATGCCAGTCATGAATCTTCACAGCTTGAAGCAGAGGATTTTGTTATCTGCCTAAAACCCATGGAGCTTCTTGGTGAAAAGTGTGAACAGTCTGGAATATCTGTTAAACTGGAGTCCACAGGATTGGCAGATGAAAAAGTAAAATATTTAAGTGTACAGCACTTACTATATAGGTATGAGAGCGCCTTTTACTCACCAGCATTTCATATTTACATGCTTGCTTAAATTTTATGGAAATTAGATCTCTCTTCTTTGTCTTCTTAAACCTACAGACGGTTTGCTCCCGATATTTCATTCTATGTCTTGTCTGATAACATCAAGTTACATTCACTTCAGCTTCTTCCTATTCACCAAACAGGTAAGTATGTTTGAACTGCAGTGGCTAGAGGTGACAAGGCCCTGACTGGAGAGAAGACCAGTTTGTAGACATTAGATTTGGTTCTTCTGCTGAGTCTTCCCAAGGAAAGGAGAGTCATATTGGGTAGGAGAAGTCAGTCAACTAGGAGGGTGTGACCAGAAAAAACTCAGTTCCTTTGTTGTTTTATTTTTGAAATAGTCTGTAGACCCAGTAAAATAAACTTGTGAGCACTGTTAGAGAATAGATCTATGTGGGTTCCAGCTGAGTATGTGGCAAAGTTTCTTAGGATGCTCATAAGCAAGGTGGGAAACCTGGTCTGAATGGAAAATCATTCAGAATACTAGTTTTCAATACAGCTGCACATTGCATTTTCCTGGATGCTTAAAAACACTGATATGGGAGATGTAGCCAGAGTGCAAAACTGTCCAATTAAGGGAGAATTAGAATCGTCAGCATTATTTTAATAGAGGGTCTCAGAAGATGACCTGTCAGTTCTAGGCTAGCATGAGCTACATGAGACCCTCTATAAGAAAAATGCCGGTAATTTTGATTCTGCCTTAACTGGACTGTTTTGGACTCTGGCACCTGTCACTAGAAATCTAGTGGGCACCAAAATTGGTATCAATAGGCTCTGCATTTGCTCGTAGCCTGTTCAGCATCATCAGATGGTTTCTGGAGAGATAACTGTTGCTATAATCCAATGTCTTTATAATGTTATTTTTAAAGTAAATATTGAGTAGCTACTGTTGGTGACCATTGTGCTGAATGCTGAACAAAAGTAGGCAACATGCTTGCACTTATGAAGTTAATTATCTAATGGTAAAAGCAGGTACTTTCAAATACTGACAAAATTGTTGTGTGGACCAAATGGCGACCATTGCTGGTTGTCCAAGTTCCAACATTTTGACATTGCAGATCACACTTTTCCAGCACCCTTTTACTTTCATTTTTAATGATTCCCAGTATGTGTCATGAGAGTTCCCTTATGCCTTTTCCTTTGAGAAGTTTTGTGCAGGTTTTGAAGGACAAAAATAATTCACTGGAAAAAAAAAAAATCCCTGTCACTAAGCAACCAGGAATCCCATTGTGCCCTCCCAATTACACCAAGAACAAGAAAGTCAGAGATTTACTAGACACATCTGACCCCAAGCATGAAACTCCTATAATCCAGATCCTGAGATGGAGGACAATTAAAGGCAAGAGTTCATTCAGTTAATAAATATGGAGAAATCAGAATGGTACTGTATAGTGAGAAAAGAGTAAGACATTGGGACCTTCCCTTTTTGGAGTATGAGAGGAACAGGCTTGCATAGTAAGACTAAGACACAAAAGGACACACTTAGGGAACACCTCCATGCATATCCCCTTGAAGATGAAAATGATCTTAAAATGTAGTGGAGTGTCTGGCCCCTGAGGAAGTCCTTTTCCCAAGTTCAGGCATTTGGATAAGGGTCTCCATTCCCCATGGGCCTTGAGGAAAGTCCTTGCTTGCTAAAAGCAAATCATTGTTCTTGATCTGGCAGGAGGATCTTGTGTCCTTTCCTTGATAAGAGGGTTCCAGGTAGAGTTACTGAACCTCTGAGAACAGTAGACATTTAGATACTAGCTTTTGTTTTAGGAAAAAATGATACAATGAAAGAAAAAATGATACAATGAAATTAATGGCTGCTTTCTATCCATGAATCATTGAATCCGCTTTCAGTCTTTGCTGTGGCTAGACTATAAAGTACAAAAGGTATATTCCTTTTTCAATCAAAATTCCTGGAAATCATCTTGCCAGGTCGTGTCTCCCTCCTCCTTTCCTCTCCCAACTCCATTCAGCCTCTTTGGACCTGAACACCACCCTGCCAAAGCAGGTCTCTGGCAGATTAGACACTGAAATAGTGCTCTATGGGAAAGGTACCCTGGTAGCAGAAGACCCTGACTTTCTCTGGGCACTAGGAAGGCTGATTCTTGAGAATACATCTGTAGGGTGACTTGTACTGACTTGCGGATTTAGATTGGTTCCGCAAAGGGAGGAGAAAAGAGTATTTTAAATAGAGGAAGTTTCAAAGCTGGGCAGAGAATCTGTATATGAGGAACTGAAAGAGCCAAGAACAGAGTGGAGTAAAGGAAATGGGAATGTGATTCAAGACTGGAGACCTGACAGGGCCAGTAGCCAATCAGAGGGTCAGCCCTTTCTTTCATTTAGTTAACTTCCCATAACAGTTGGAATAAAATGTTGCAATTGTTCCATGGCCAATGTGACCTAACTCTGGGCTCATCTTGTCTCAGCCTCACCTGTAACTGTTCTCTATTCACAGTTGCCTTTCTGCTGTCCTCAGATATGCTAAATATTCTTTTCTGTAAAGCTTATTATTTCTCCTACCTAGACCTAGGATGTGCTTTGTTCAGATCCCATGTGAGTGTTGTGTCCACATTATTTAGTGCACAGCTCTAATGTCATCTTACCACAGGGCAGTGACTTCCCTGGTTCTCTCAGTTTGATTTCCTTTTATGTTTAATTATGTGGACATCTGTGTACCCTAATGTGGGTTTGTGCATGAAAGTGTGGTACTAGCAGAGGCCAATGAAAATGTCGCAGCGGGTTATGAGTGTTATAATATGGTGTGAGGTGGGGACTCAGCAGATCCCATGGTGGGGGACAAACACATCATCAGGCAGAAATTATTTGGGAAGGAAGTTTTATTGGGGAAGGGAAGGGAGTGGGGAAGGGAGAGAAGAATGGGGAGAAGAGAAAAAGATAGACACAGTGAGAAAGAAGAGAAAGAGAAGAGACAGGAAAAGTCTTGTCTGCCCCTCTAGAGGAACAGCTGGAAAGAGAGATCAGAAGTGGGTAGTTTGCCTCTTAAAGTTCCCTTTGCACTATGCATTGACATAGCAGCCATAGGACCCTTGGCTGGCCAGGGTATTGCCTGAGTGCATCCTGCCAGGTGACGGGTCAGGCCAACAGAATGCCTGATTTCTAACAATGAGCCAAACAGTTGGTTACTGGGAGTTGAATTCAAGCTTTCTGCAAGAGCATCAAGAGCTCTTAATTGCTATGCTGTCTCTCAAACTACTAGCTCTCTGCATTCAAAAATCTCTGTTCACTTTAGTTTACTTGTTTGTTCCCTGTTCCAGTTCCCATCACGAGATGTGAGGGCTCTGTGAAATAAGTTACCTTGTTTTGTGCTTTGCCATAGCCCCAGAACTTCAAACCACAATACTGCAGTGGTCACCTAGGGAGTATTTATTGAATGGACAAATGACTGTAGATGTGTGGTTTAATTTGAGCTGGGTCCCAGGTGAGTGTGTATTTTAGAAGCTGAAGAATTTGGTAAGGTATTTCATAAGGAACCAACATATGTAAGCTGCAATATTGTCATATGCTTAGAGATCAATTCTGTTTAGCTAGAGCTCAGTTGTGTACCAGAAAGAAAAAATGGAGATGGCTTTGGGCAGAATTGGACTTTCAGTATCAATGGGTATCATAGAAGGAGGAATAAAACTTAAAACAAAACTTTGGTTATGAAAATTTGAAGCTTATTTAGATAGTGAGAAAATACTACATTACTTCCCCCATATCCCAGTCTACAACTTATATGTGGCAGAATCCTGATCCACTCCTAGTTATTTTGATGACTATTCTAACATCTATATAGTTTCTATATAAATATTTCTCTAAACAGAATCTGAGGATGTTTTAATGAATTCAAGATACTTCCCATGTAAAAATTCCATGATGTCCTCAGGTCACTTTTCAGGGTACTCATTTTCCTGATCTTCTAAAGATTTTACCCCCTGCAGTCCCTTTGTTTGAATGAGGAACATAAACATGTTAGAGTTATCTCAGTTGATTTCTGCATCTTATTTGGGATCAGCCTTCTCATTCTCTTTTTGCAATTTCTGTAGCAAGAAATTGTGCCTTTACTGTAAGCTTATTATAATCTGAATTTTGCTGAGTGAGTCTTCACAGTGCCATTTATCAGGTTCCTGTTGTACTTGTAAGGAGTAAGGTTTTGACATCTCCCATCATGTACCCACTGTGTTCTCATGTGAGTTAGTCATTCGCTGTCAGTCTGTGCTTTTCAGTACAGTGTTAGCTATAAGTTGCCCTTAAGCACTTGAAGTATAGCTAATAGAAACTGATATATACTGTAGATATAAACCACAGCCTAGATTTTGAATGTTTAGTACTAAAATACAAAACACTTGATTTGTTTGTTTGTTTGTTTATTGATCATTGAAATGGCAGTGTTTTAGCCATGCTAAATTACTGGACAATGTTATTAAAAACCTTTTTCTGTTTCTTTTACTTTTTGGAATACATTTTTATTGACCACATTGATATAGATAGACTAAGGCTTGATCAGAATATTTGTTGTATAAGGAGTTTTGTTGTCTCTTGGAAAGCCCATGGTTACTGGTAAACACTACAATATTAATAGCCATGTATGAGTGTAACGTAGTTCATTTGTTGAAAATGGTGCTTTCCTAATTACCTCCTACGCTTTCCATTTCTTACTGTTCACTTCCCCTTAGCTCCTCTGTGGTTTCTGATACAGTCTAGTCCATCTAGTCTGCATTGGAAAATCATGATATTGATTCTCTCCTTTTATCTATAAGCTTCATAGCATGTCTCTCTTGTATTTTTTCCATTGCAGGTTTTCCTCCTGATGGAAAAGTTTTGTCTCAGGAAAAAGAGCTGCTGAGCCTCTTCTGTTTCTTCTCATTACCTCATGTGGGCTATCTGTACATGGTTGTGAAATCTGTTGAGTTAATGTCAGTCTATTGGTATCCTGAGAAGTCTCAGCAAGCAGTACTCACACCACAGTTTTTGCATGTAATCACAAGGTATGGCTCTAGTGTTGCTTGTTGGTCTTTGACTCACTTGCTTTTTTGTAAGTTTTCAAGGTGGTGATGAAATCTTCGAGAACTATATATCTGTTATATCTGTTACGGTGGTTGTGTCAATGTTAAGTTTTTGGGCTCTGGCTTTGCCATTGTTGTGCTCCCTTAGACTGCATGTACAGCCTTGTGAAATCTAAAGTTCTCCTGAAGTATGCCTTCAATGGTACCACCACTTCTAATTTAATGCCAGCTACTCTTTGGTTTGGTTTTTTTATTTTTTTTTTTTTCTTCTTAGTTTTGTTCTGAATTATGTAGCTCTGGCTCTCCCAGAATTCACTATGTAGACCCTGCTGTCCTCAAACTCACAGAGATGTGTCTCTGCCTCCTGAGTGCGGAAAGGCATGTATCACCACACCTAGGCTTTTGTCCTAGTTTTAAAGAGCTCATGTTTACTTCTCCAAGTTTCTAGTTCATTTACAAAGTCATTCTTGTAAAATCCTTTACAAGATAGATTTGGTAGTAATTTCTGAGTAAATAGTTTTTTAATCAGTATTGCTATTGATTTAGATCACCGCAACAAATAACAGCCAGATGCCTATGTGTCCTCAAAGTATTCTTACGTTTTTTTACCCTGCAGAATGATCCTGGGGTAGAAGGAGATAGAGGAGTCTGGTTGTCTAATTGGTTCTACTCTCTAGAGGCCACTGCCAATGTGAACGTTTCTAATTTTCAAAGCAAGATGGTGGACAGGCATTTCTGAAGAGTCCTTCTGTCTTTCATTTTCATTTTATCATTTATGTGTTTGTGTTGTTCTGAGCTGGTCACACAACATAATCAAGGCTGAATTTTACTATAAGATAGCATGGTAAGCAGCAATCAGGATGCAGATTCTAATCTGGATTCTAGTCGTCACCCATTCATTCATACGTGATCTGCTGTTATGGGCATTTTGTTGTTTGTTAAGGGAGGATGTAAGTCCTAGCCTGATCAGCCTAGCTCTTAAATGTAGGTGTACATCACAGTCAGTGCCTGAGATTTTGATTCCATTGGAATGCTGTAATCTACAACCATGCCTCAGGGATTTAAGCGACTATGTCTTTTCTAGGAACCAGACTAATTAATTCACTGTCATGTGACAGATACTAGTTTTGTCTCTGCCCTCTGCCATTGCTGTTTGCTGGTGAAGCCCTTCCTACCATGGTGGGTACATTGGTTCTTGGACCCCTCCTTGCTCAGTGGCATCTCTCTTCTTCCTTAGTCAAAGTCTGCAGTGTTTCACAGTGCGGTGCAGCGCAGCAGTGGCTCATGAGGAAGACCTGTACATGGATTCTACGTTGAAGGTTAGAGCTGGCTTCTGGTGATAGTAAAACCCTGAGCACAAGGCAGCACAGAAATGCTTGCAAACTTGTTTTCAGGCCTAAGCTTGGCAAAGACTAAAGGTCTTATTCATTATGCTGGCTAATTTTATGTCAACATGACATAGGCTAGAGTTATGAGAGGAGGGAAACCCAATTAAGAATGCCTCCATAAGATCAGGCTAGAGGCAAGCCTGTAGAGCATTTTCTTAGTTAGTGATTGGTGTAGGAGGGCCCAGTCCATCATGATGGAGTAGGGAGTATCCCTGAGCTGGTGGTTCTGGATTCTTTAAGAAAGCAGGCTGAAGAAGCCATAGGAGTAAGCCAGTAAAGCAGCACTCCTCCATGGCCTCTGCCCTGCTTGAGTTTCTATTCTGGCTTCCTTAAGTGATGGACCCTTTGCTCCCCGTCTTGTTTTTTTTGTCATAATGTTTCATTATAGCAATAGTAACATTAATCAATACATCTATTAAATTGGAAGTTCTGGATAGAAACTAGTAAGCATTTCTGATGTTTGATTTGACAGTTTTTAAGCTTGTTTCAAAGTAGAAGACATGCATAGGTTAGTAGTCTAAAGAACAGGAACTGGGCAGAGGATTTTTATCAAGTGAACAGACTGATTTTGTCAGTTTGTTTGTAAAGACAGGGTCTCATGTATCTCAGGTTGGCTCTAACCTTGTAGCTGACTGTAACCTCTTAAGTGAGGTGGTACATGCCATGCTGGTGATTGAACCCAGGACATCATGTACTCTGCTAACTGAACTACATTCTCAGCACTGATTTTTGAAGAAGTCCACATACCTTCATTCCTTAGTTAAGTGTGTAATTTTTTCTTTATTAGGCTTGCCCACCTGTTAGTTTGGATGTGTGTGCTCTAAGAATACAGCTTTTTATAGGCTTGAAAGCCATCTGCCATTTTAAAAACCATATCATACTTCTGACCAAGGCAGACCCTGAAGCCATTCCAGAGAGAAGAGAGTCACCCAAGAGGCTTCTGTAAGTGTTCCCCTAGCCCCCCATACATTTCTGCCAGTTTCTGGAATGAAGTGTAACTGGTAAATTGTATATATGTCTTAGTTTTATTTTTTTTTTTAACTGAAAATCAGAATGATCAGTTAGGTGGCTTTTCCAGAGAAAATAAAGAAGGTGTAGTCATCTCTATTACAAGTAATCAATTACAAAATAGCTTCCATAGCTACCACCTGTACTGTGGATAAGAATATATATATATATATATATATATATATATATATATATATATATATATATATATATAAATGCCTTCTCTGTGGAATTATGAGGTTAGACAGAACCTGTAATATTAATCCTGGCCACAAAGCTTTTTCCTGTTTCTCCTCTTTGGCATTATAGTACTTATATTTTTTTGTCCAAAGGTCATTTTTACGTTATAAGAGAGCTTATTAGTATATTTTTATATTACAGTGTAATCTATTTAATATTAAGGAAAATACATCACAGTAAAAGTAAGAGATAACATTTTAAGCTAACTTATAGGCTTATGTATCTTGAACATGTGATGTGAATGTTTTACATGTTGTTTCTTTTAAGATTTTGTGGTTCATGGCAGGCATGCTGGACTCATAGAAGCCACAGTGAAGTGGGCCTGGACATGAGGATTTTCAGAGTTGATAGGTCTGCATGCCTATTTGGGGAGCTTAGTTTTGGAGAATTGGAGGCAAGCTGACTTACCAGTATGTGACAGAATAGTAAATGCTGTATACCTGTGAAGTGATGTAAACTATGGAAATTGATTATGTGTATAGCTAATTACCAAGGAAAAATTAAAAGTGATGTAATGCTTGTATTATTTTATAGTAACCAATATTTACAGGTGAAAACTGTAATTTATTAATAAAATGCCTTATTCTGATCCTTTTCAGGTCTAGAAAAGGTGCCAGTGTTAGGAGCAGAATCCCTCCCATACCTGAGGCTGGATGGAGTCTGTATATTGTGAATACCATTGCACCAGTTCAGCTATACAAAGAAATGGTACTTTTTCAGACATCTGATTCGTATTCATATAACTTTAGAGTGAAACTGAATATTTCTGTAGACAGACATTGCTCTTGTTACTGCACAGCTTCTGCTCCTTGTATTTCACTAAGGAAACCTTAAAAGAAGAAAATGAAATGGATTAAATTAATTATACATTGAGTTTGCTCCATTCAGACAGCTTCCAGGCTCCATCACAACAGTAAATCATGTACCTTTCTTCACCTTGTTTTCAACTTCTGGCATTTGAGAGGCCCCTTAATTATACTCTAATTTAAGCCATTGAGTTCTAGTGTGCTGGTTGTTTTTTTTTTTTTTTTTTTTTTTTTTTTTTTTGTCAACATGCCACAAACTTATATATAATCTAGGAAGAGGAAATCTTAGCTGATTTCTCCATCAGACTTCCCTCTAGGCATGTCTGTGGGGTATTCTCTTAATTAATTATTGAGGTAAGAGGGCCTAGGCCAATGTTAATGCCACTTCCTGGTCATGTGGTCCTGGATGGTATAAGTAAGCAGGTTAAGGAAGCCATGAGAGCAAGCCCAGAATCAGTGCTCTCCCATGCCTTCTGCTCCCGTTCCTGTTTCTATACCTTGTCTTCCCTCAATGCAAACTGTAAGCTTTATGCCAAATAAATCTCCTCCCAAGTTCTTTTTGGTTAGTGTTTTATCATAGCAACATAAGCAAAACTAAAGCCCCTAGCAAAGAGAACCAGGAAATGTAGCTGAAAAAAAGTCTCAGATCATTTGTTTCTATCACACTCTATCTTTGAAATGTAATAGGTTCTCTCCAGGTACAGTAGCTGCAGCAGTAGTCTGGTGAGGGGTCTAGAGTGCCATTCTTGTCCTGTTACAAGATTCAGAGCTCCCTACACATCTCTGGCAATCAAAACACTTCTCTTTTAAATAATGCCAAGCTTAGATAAATTGTAAGGATGAAAATAATACAAAGAAAACCTTATAGCTGGCACACCCATTGATTGTAGTCTGTACTCCTCACAATTTGCCCTTGTGGATACTCCTGTACTTTCCCAACACAGTTATTTTCTTGGTCCACTGAAAAGTAACTGCATATGTCATAGCTTTTGACTTTAAATAATAAGATACTCTCCTATTTAACCACAGTAAACCACATTCTTTAGTAAATCTAATCTTTACACGGTATCTAGTTCATGATTGATATCCCACTCAGTTTAGTCAGGTGACTCAGCCATGGCTTATTAGCTTTCCCACCAGTCCATTCTAGGGTTGGGTAATATGCTTAATTATCATGTCTCCTTAGCTTCTTTTAATTTAGAATATTTGTGTTGCCTCTCCTTTTATTTTATAACATTGACACTTTAAGGAAATACAGATCTCCCCTCTACTTTGTCTTTTATCTGTTTTGAGAATGCTCTTTAATTTTGTTACATAGTTTTTCATGATTAGATTCTGTTTATACATTCTCAGCCAGAAAACTGCATAGATAATGTGTATTTTTCTAGTGTATGACATTGTGGAAGCAGATAATGACCATTGATGCCTCACTGGTGATGTCAATCTTGGTGGTATGGTTAAAGATTGACTGACTTATTTCTGATATTTTTACACTAGGAATCATATCCGCTTTGTCCTGGAAAGTCTTAGATCTCATCTAAAAGTAACTCCTAAAGTCTGATGCTCTTGATAAGTAAGGATAGCCAGTGATGGTTCTTGTATGCCCACTGTGAATATGGAATAGATATATCATATAGTTAATGTCACCAGGAGAAACTCAGCAGGAGAGCCTTGTTCATAGTTTGGAAAAGTTGAGTCACAGACCTTTAAATAAAAAGTTCATTATTTAAAATATGTTCAAAGCCTTATGAATATGGGTAAAAGAGATGGATCAGTGGTTAAGAGCACTTATTGCTATTTTAGGGAATATGGGTTCACTTCTCAGCACCCACATTATGGCTCCTAATTATCCATAACTCTAGGTCCCGGGGATCTGATGTGGCATCTCTGCTGATATTCAGGCAGTCATGGAGTACACAGACATATGTGCACACAAAACATTCAGACATTCATATAAAATTAAATAAATAAGTCTACAAAAATAGGAGAAGGAGAAAAGGTAGGCTGAGTAAGCCTAAACAGTGGTCCTTTCTGGTCTGTGTTTTCATTCCTGCCACTGGGTTCCTTCCTTGGCTTTGATTAGTGATGAACTGTGACTTGTAAGCCAAAGAAACCCTTTTCTTCCCATCTTGCCTTTCATGGTGGTGTTTTTATCACAGCAATAAAAAGCAAACTAAGACAATATACAACCACTTGTTTACTTACTTTTTTGTGTTTAATATACCTATATATTAATTTTATTAACAGATGTAATGGAATTCTTAAGAGTGGAGATGGGGTGGGGAACTGGTGGTCTTTCTTCAGCAACACTAGCTGTTTATCTTCTTGTTTCAGGTAGACTATAGTAACACTTATAAGACTGTGAAAACACAGAGCTGTATCCACTTGCTCAGTGAGGCTCATCTGTTATTGAGAGCTGCCTTGATGGACAGCAGTCACCTGGAACCTTCAGAGAAAGCAGAGCTTTTAGAAGCCTTTAAGGAAAGCTGTGGGCACCTTGGAGACTGTTACAGCAGGTTGGTGAGGCCTCTTAAGCTTTGTTACAGAGTTTTACATGTACTTATTATTATTATTTTTTTTTAATCTCTGGGAGTTGGTTTACTTTTTCATTTATTTTACAAGCATTTGTTGAATGTATGCTATGTGCCAGATACTGTGGTCAACTTAGAGGAACAATATGAATATGACAGGGTCTTGAAATTGTCACAGTTCCTTACAGAATTAGTAAACCCACTACAAACTTTTCAGTGTGGATGGTGGTTTTATTTATATATTTTCTTTTTCTTTTCTTTTGTTCTTGTTTTCAGAATTTGAGGGGTACATGACCAGGGAAAAAGACCTGAGATAGCTTTGGCACTTGTTTCTCGTCGTTAGCTTGAGGGATGACTGGTGTCTCTAGAACAATCTGAAATCTTAATATTAGTAATCAGTGCTTTCTAAGTATCACCAAGGAATACAAAGGTCAATAGAGATTTTTATTTCTGAGAACAATGTCCATAAAAGATTTGTATACACACATGCTTTCCTCTCCTCTCTTCTCTTTCTCCTAAGTCTCTCTCCATTCACTGCCCCCCCCCCTTTCCATGTGCTCTGAGGGACTTGTCCCTTCCCACATCTGTGAGGGACTTTATATGAATCTCTTAGAATACACCTTGTGTCCTAGTTCTTCTGGTAGTATGAATTATTGGCTGGTGATCCTTTGCTCTAGGTCTAAAGTCCATATATAAGTACGTACCTACCATGTTCCTCTTTTTGTGACTGGGTTACCTCATGCAGGATGGTTTCTTCAAGTGCCATCCACTTGCCTATGAATTTCAAGATTCCATTATTTTTTTCTGCAGAATAGTATTCCATTGTGTAACGAGTACATCCCCCAATGGGCGTGGTCAGTGCCACAGAACTATCTCATTACACCATTGTGTAGATGTGTCACATCTTCTTTATCCATTCTTCAGTTGAGGAGCATCTAGGTTGCTTCCAGGTTCTTGCTATTATGAATAATGCTGATATGAACATAGTTGAGCACATGTCTTTGTTGCATGGATGTGGATCATTTGGGTATATGCCTAAGAGGGGGATTGCCGGGTCCTATGGTAAACTAATTCCCATTTTCCTGAGGAACTGCCATACTGATCTCCAAAATGGCTGTACAAGTTTGCACTGCCCTACATGTGGAATTGGGGTGGGGGTATGGGAGGGGAGGGTGGTCAGGGTGCTTGTGAGGGGGCAGAGAGGATAAGAGGGAGGGACGGAGAGGAAACTGGGATCAACATGTAAAATAAAAAATAAATAATTAAAATAAAAAAAATGAAAACAAAAAAAGTTGCTTAGTTGTCATTAGAGTATAGCACGGAGTTTTCAGTATAGAGTGAGGACCAAAAACAACAAAAGATTTGTAGACAATTGTTTGATAGGCTTACTTAACTGGTATAAATGATTATAAATGACTGAAATAGACTGTGCTGAACTATAAATGCTATTATTTTGGAGGCCTATTTAATACTAAAATTCACACCAGGTAGTGGTGGTGCACACCTTTAATTCTCCTACTCAGGTGGCAGAGGCAGCTGGATTTCTGAGTTTGCGAACCACTTGGTGAGTTACAGGACAGCCAGGGATACACACAGAAACCTTGTCTCAAAATATCAAAATGGAAAAATTTAAATTCACTTGATGAATCATTGCTTTTCTGCCTTTATTGTCCTCAGAAGAAAAGAAACTACAAATTGGAGTGACTTTATAAAATCAAGCTATATAATTACTTGAGGCAGAAGAAAGCACTGCAATACTTATTTCTTTGAAAGCATTATATGTTTTATTTCTAACTATGTTAAGTAGCTGGCTTAGAAATGTACATTTCAAGCCCTTTAAAATTTCTCTCTCTGTAGGCTTGACACTGAGCAATCCCACCTCGCCTTGCCGTACTATAAGATGTCTGGATTGTCTCTGGCTGAAGTTTTGGCCCGTGTGGCCTGTACAGGAGAGTGTGAATCACAGAAATATGAGAGAGGATTAATATTTTATATTACCCATTCACTTTATGAAAACCTGGATGAAGAATTAAGTGAAGTGAATATAATTTCCTATAAAATTACAGTTTCTGTTTTTAACTTTTCATTTTACTAATTTTTTAGTAAATAGTATTTAGAACTTGAGTTCCAAATATTTTCTTCTACTAAACAAAACAATATGCTCTTTTCTCCTTTAATGATTTTAGAATTATGGCTTGGAAAAGGGTTTAGGAGTCACCTTTTCATATTTTTTCAGTATTCAGCATGGAGATGTTATCTGTTGTGATTGACGGACCTGTCTAATCATAGTGACATCTATTCTGAAGTGAAGGGCAGAATGAGGTTCATACTTTCTTTTGTATTATGTTTTTTTATTTTCATAATTCCATTTGACTTATTTTTCAAGTGTCCAAACTTCAAATGGGCCAGTGACCTCTTAAAACATTACTAAAGATTATTTTTGGCCCCTTTTGTATTTTAAGCACAGTTGGAAATTGCAATACCATATACTTGAAGATTCAAGGGAAGTAAAAAATTTCTCTTGAATCATATTATTGAGTATATGTTGAACTGAGTTGTAGTTTTTAAATTGTAAACTTTTAAGTATAATAATATTTTCTTGTATGTTATTGAAATTAGAAATATTGGTCACAAATTGCTATATAGTTTTTACTGAATTTTTTTCTTATTGTACCTCAGCAGACATATATGTTACCTCATTTCTAGTTTCCCAAATGTTCTCATAAATGCTTTGTTAATGATAACATTATATTGTTTTCTACTGGCTTTGCAAACTTACTTCCTTTTTTTCTATTATATTGCTTCCTATTGGCTAACCTTTTGTTCTTTGTTCATTCTCTTCAAAGGAATTAGCAGCAAAAGTGGCTCAGATATTTCATGTGGCTGAGCCGAAGCAACTGCCTCATGTCCTCTGTAGTCCTTCTATGAAGAATATTGATCCTTTAACTGCCTTCCATTATTTAAAGACGCTAGATACTTGTGAATTTTCACCAGTCTTAATGACCTTGACCAAGGCAGCAGTGGCCTTGAAAATGGGAGATCTTGACTTGTACAGAAATGAAATGAAGAGCCATTCAGAGGTATAGTACCATGTGTGGTGTTGGTCATGTCTAAAAGAGGATTGGAGGTGATCCTGAGGCATTTGGCTTTCTTCTGGTTTCTTGAACCCCGTGGCTGGCTGGCTAGCTTGCTTGCTTGCTTTCCTCTCTCCCTCCTTCCCTCCCTCTCTTCCTCCCTCTCTCCCTCCCTCCCTTCTTCCCTCCCTCCATCCCTCCTTTCCTCTCTTCCTCCCTCCTTTTCTTTCTTTTTTTATTTTGCGACAGGGTTTCTCTTTGTAACTGCTCTGACTGTCCTGGAACATGCTCTGAATACCAGGTTAGCCTCAAACTCACAGAGAGCTACATGCGTGCGCTTCTCGAGTGCTGGGATTAAAGCCATGTGCCAGCACCTCCAGGCCTAGCTCATGGTTTCCTAGTAATAGTTAACAGGCAGTATTAAATGGGAACTAATCTAACTGGCACTTCCGATCTGGCAAATGGAACAAAAGAATAAAATTGAGAAATATCAGCAGTGACTATTCAAAGATCTTCTTTCATCATCTTAGTACCACATATATTCAGAATATTGTTTGGCACAGAAGAATATAAAAGCTTTGCCCAGAGCTGATAGTTAGAGTAGGTGTAAAAGATGGTATGTTCACTGGAAGCACAATAGCGTGATGAGTTTTTTTAAGTGTAGAAAGGATATTATTAACTGTAAGCCATAGGAGTCTAATAGGTGCAAAAATGCTCTCCATTCCTGAAAACCACAAGTGACACTATGGAGTAATTGATATTTAAATGGTTCACCAAAGAAGGAAAGGTCATTTTTTTTTTTTTTAGTATCATTTAGGGACAGAGGCCAAAATTGCTAATCACTTTAGGTGGAGGTGAAGGGATTATTTGTGCACTTATGTCCCAAGCCTATTCTAAATTGCTTGCATGTATTATTTTATTTTATTCTTGTTTAGTGCTGAGGTCATTGTTGTAACTGTTAAACACATAAGACCCCTGAGACACAGAGCTAAAATACCTTGTCTGTGCTTGTACAGTTGGTCATCTTCAGTAGGCAAGTTAGAGCCTGGGCCTTGTTATTGTTGCTTGCTTGGTCAAATGCTCATCCTATAAATATGTTTTCTAAAACAGGCAAGAAGACATCATTATGTCAGGAGACAATTTGCTATGAAAAGAAGTCAGCATCAGGGCATCTGCTTAGAAGAGTAGAATTCTTAAATCAGAGTTTTCTTTGATTTTCCTAATTTCCATAATTATGAGACACTTAGGAGCTATATCTAATCTAAAACTTTTTACAAAAATGGAACACCTCTAAGTTTAGTTTTCTATTAGTAATTTATATAAGACAGCTAATAATATCCATCTTGGGTTAAGAGCTAGTTTTATGGCTAAAAAATGGAAATAAAGTATTAATATCTTCCCTCTAAATGCATTAGAATGTATGAAATGAGTAATGTTGATGTAATATACACTTCATTCCAACATTTCTTTTTTAATCTGAAGATGAAGTTGGTATATGGCTTCATTCTGGAACCTCGCCTGTTAATTCAGCAGTGGAAAGGACAGATTATTCCTACTGAACTTGCAATTCACTTGAAGGAAACTCAGCCTGGATTGCTTGTAGCTTCAGTCCTGGGCTTACAGAAAAATGGTAAAATTGGAATTGAAGAAGCAGATTCTTTCTTTAAGGTTTGTCCATTTGAAAATATAACTTTTCTGAGTGACCTGATAGAAATCACAGACAGACATATGTACATATACATATATATGTAGTTTATAATATAATAATGTAATAATAATGTATATATAATTTAAATGTTAACATACAGATTTAAAAGAGTGTTTCTGTAGAAACTTCTTGCACACAACCTAGAATCTGTTTCTTATTTAAAAAAAATTGTATAACTTCGCTCTTGCCATGGCAGCCAAGACAGATTTATGAATTACATAACCACATGGTAGAACAATAGTTCTGTTGTCACTTCTGGCTCAGTGTTTACAAGGGGTACCCTGTTTTCAAGGTGCTGTGTGGAAAAGATGAAGACACAATACCTCAGCTTTTGGTAGACTTCTGGGAAGCTCAGCTTGTAGCTTGTCTCCCAAATATGGTACTTCAGGAACTTTTCTTCAAGCTTACATCTCAGTACATCTGGAGGTTGTCTAAGAGGCAGTGTCCTGACACCATACCATTGAGAACAGCGGAGGATTTGGTAATGAAACAGTGCCTTAAATGCATACAGTGCATGCTTCAGTAATTTGTTCTTAGTTTTGTTTTATTTTTGAGAGAGAAAGAGAGAGTGTGTGCATGCTGTGTATATGCTCCATTGCTCAGGTGCAGATGTTCTGTGTGCAGAGCCTACAGGTCACTCTCAAATGTCATTCTCAGGGACTCTGTCCATTTCTTTTACAACAGAGTTTCTCATTGGCCTGCAGGATATCAGTTAGCAAGAGACCCCCAGGTATCACTTCCATTCTGCCTCCTCAGCATTGAGATTACAAATGTGTACAGCCACACCTGACATTTTTCTAGGTTCTGGGAATCAAATTCAGGTCTTCATTCTTGTGAGGTAAATACATTACTTACTGAGACTCTCTTTCTAGCCACTACTTTGTTTTTAATGCTTAGAATGTATCTGAAGTTACCTACATCTTATATACTGTCCCATACTATAAAACACCATGTGGGCCTGCCAAGAGTTTTTCAGGTAAAATCCTTTCCTACCACGTGTTATGACCTAAGTTCTATCCCTGGGATTTACAGTGGAAGGAGAAAACTGACTCCTGAAAGTTGTTCTCTGATTTCTACATGTGCTCCATGGCACACACAAACATATATCCATGGGACACACAAATATACACACATATAAATAAAAAAAAAAATTTAAAGACTACCACGTAGAACGCAGGTATCAATGACATATGCCTTTAATCTTACCACTTAGGAGGCAGGGACAGGTGGATCTCTGTGAGTTCCGGCCAGCCTGGTCTACAAACAGATTTCCAGGCCAGCCAGGGCTACACATGAGACCCCACCTGTCTCAAATTCCATACCCTCAAAATAAAGAATAGTCCTGTATTATTTCATTGTTACCACCTTGCAGTGTCACAGCATGTGAAGGCCTTTTCCCAGAATAGTGTTAACATTTGTACTTGTCAGTGGAGGACTCAGTAAGAAGGGACCTCACTGAGGAACTTCAGAAAGCCCAAGGCAATGGACAGTAGCACTGGCCTTCCATTTCTTGTCAGGGATACCCTCGGCTTCAGGTGTGTTGTAGGCAGCCTTGGCATCACCTGTTACCTGTCATACTCTGCTTTCCTCTTTCATTCCCATTTCTGTTACTGCTGCAGCTACTCTGTAGTTACTGAAAAGGTCCCTGTGTAATCTGTTAGATAAAGGATATTCTGTCTTCTTAAAAATGTATACCCCCCAAATGATATAACTAAAAATTATTTCCATGGTTCCTTTAACTCTTTTTAATATAGTTATCTTAAGAACAATGTCACTTTTTTTTTCAAGATAGAACTTCTTTAAAATATTTTTAAATTTCAAAATATTAGGAAAAAGTTATTGCAATTATGTGGTGTGGAAGCAATGAGACTGCACCCTTTACTAGGGAAATATATTCTAAAAATCTTCCTTTTCCTAAGAGAGTATTAAGTGAGTCTGACATGTCCAGAGGATTAACGGACAGATGAAGAAATTGTTTATTTGTTTTACTGTTGTTATGCTTGGCTTGTGATGCAATTTCTTTAATGTTTCAGATAAATGCCTGCAGTCATTATGGCTTAGTCTATCCATGGGTTCATGTCTTATTATCATCTGATTCATTAGGTGATAAAAATTACACAGAAGACCTTTTGAAATTACAGGTAAATAAAATCTCTCTCTCTCTCTCTCCCCCCTCCCCCTCTCTCTCTTTCTCCTACATCAAGCTAGTTCTTTTTTTAATTTTAATTATTTATTTTTTATTTTACATGTCGATCCCAGTTCCCCCTCCCTCCCTCCTTCCCTGTCTCCTTCCCTCCCTCCCTCTCTCCCTCTTACCCTCTCTGCCCCCTCACATGCACCCTGACCACCCTCCCTCCCATTCCCCCACCCCAATTCCACATGTAGGGCAATGCCATCCAGGTGGGATCATGTAAATCTATCAAGTCATTTGAAGTAGGGACTAGGACTTCTCTCCCGTCTCTAGGTTAAGGCAGTATCCTTCCATGGAGTATGTGTCTGCAAGGTCCTTTTGTGCACCAGGAATACATCCTGGTTCCACTGTCTGAGGTCCCTTAGACTGCTCAGTCCTTCTAGCTGAGACCCATATTCAGGAGGTCTGAGTTGGTCCCATGCTGGATTCCCAGCTATCAGTCTGGGGGGGCCTGTTAGCTCCTCCTTGTTCAGGTCAGCTGTCTCTATGTGTTTCTGCAACCTGGTCTTGTCCTCTCCCTCTTCATCTGGATTCTAGTTCAACTTAGTATTTAGTTATGGGTGTTTGCTTCTGTTTCCAAGAGGTACTAGATAAGGGTTCCATGATGGTGGATAAGGTAGTTGTTGATCTTGCTATCCGTGAAGGGCATTTATGGCAGCCTTTCCACAGTTGCTTAAATTCTTATTTGTTGGCAATCTTGTAGGTCTCTAGACCTTTCTTTAGGTTCAGTTTTCTCTTCAAACCAATAATGGCTTCCTCTTTTATGTTCGTCTCTCTCTCTCTCTCTCTCTCTCTTCTGTGTTATATTCCTATCTGACTCAATCTTCCTAGTTGCATGTGCTTTCCTCCCTCCCCTTCTCTTTCACCTACTTCTCCCTCCATTCACTGCCCCCCACCCCCACTTCCCATGTGCTCTGGGGGACTTGTCCCTTCCCCCTTCTGTGAGGGACTTTATATGAATCTCTTAGAATAGGCATAGAGGAAGGTGAGGAAGCCCAGCTCAAAGGTGCCGAAAACATATTCAACAAAATCATTGAGGAAAACTTTCCCAATCTGAAGAAGGGCATGCCTCTTATTTTAGAAGCATACAATATATTACAGTATAACATACAATTTAAATATGATGTGATATCACATGGTTTGTTAATTTAGAATATAACTTTTGGGGACAAAACTCTGTAGCTGATCACATTCAGGAGCTTTGGAATCCTGCTTCTGCCTGGAACTGCTGACATATGGGGCATCTGAGCTGATTTCAGCACTGTGCAACTGTCCTCGTTTTAGGATGTATTTGAAAACACCTATGTGAAATAAAAGTGTACAAATATATAAAGATGTTTTGTAATCATGAGTCTTATTTAACTTGGCTTAACACAATTAAGACTTCCTACCCAAGCTACCACTACCATCTGTCTTATGAACAATATGTCAAAGCAGTCAGTTTATCTGACCCCAGAAGAGATTTTTTTCAAAAGAATTGTGGAACACAATTTATGTTATAGGTAAAACTCTGGAGGCCTGGTCTGACTAATTCGAGTAGCTGTTGTCTGAGCAGTGCATAGCTTGTCATGACTGTAACACTTTTATCTCTGTGAATTCATGTCCAAATGCTGAGGGCTCCATGTGTGCTTTTGTTCTGCTTGATCCCTTTAAGGATTTGGGTGTGAAATTCCTAATAAAAAATTTATGTATTGGTGTAAATGTGGTTTTTATCAATTATGAAGGTAGGGATGGGCTAGGGAAGGAAAGTCAAGAGGCTAGATTATATAGACTCAGACTTGAGACTGTGTGGCCTACATTCTTCTATTACAATTACAGAGTTGGACATGGTGGTACATGCCTATAATTCTAGCTCTTAGGATGCTGAGGCAGAAGGATCAGTAATTTATCAGTTAATCACAACAATGTATCACCTAGGAAGATTTTTTTTCACTGTCTCTTATCTCTAGTATCTGTGTGACACTGAAAGTCCTATGTTAGTTTCTTATTTGTTGATTTTATAGCTACTGTCTGAGAATGAGTTGTGGGCCTTGTCTTCCCAGAACATCCAGAGCAGTGATGTAATTAAAGCTACCATTGTAATATATGCTATGAAATTTCAACTGATAAAGCTTCAAAGGACATTTATAATCACAGTCAAAAGGTATAATTCAGTAATCATTTAAAATCTCTGAAGGCAACAAACGATTGATTTTGTTACTTAATGTGGTGATATATTTTTTTTATGATTTTTTTAAAGCCTGCCTGAGGATTCAGAAAGCAAAGTCAGCCTCAAGCTATAGTGATCAGGCAGTGGTGGTACACCTTTAATCCCAAGACTCAGGAGGCAAAGGCAGAGGGATCTCTCCCGCCTTTAATCTAGCACAAGAGAGATAGAAAATATAGGAGCAGGGTCCTCAGTAGTCATTTTAGGATTCTCCAGCCATGTTGAGGAGAGCATAGCAGTCTGGAATTGCAGCTGAAGTTTGGTGGGCCAGTATCACCATTCACTCTGAGGTAGAGGTAAGAGTAGTAGTCTTGAAGCTTGACCCAATATCAGCATCTGGGTCTTTTATTTGTTATGCTACAACTTAATCCATTTAATTAACCTCTGTCTTTTGAATGAGAAACTAAAGCCAATATTTAGTATTGAGAGCCAAGGTACTATTTAAGGGGTTTGTTGATTGCTGTTATTTTCCCCCCTTTTGTGTTCTTTGTCTTATTTGGTGTTTCTGTAATTATGGCTTCTTTGTTTTCTTTATGTGGCTTCTTGGATTTACTTATCCTCTTTTCAGCCCTAAGTTTTGATTCTAGTATTCTCTGTGGGGCTGGCTTAGTAGACAATAATTCTTTTCACCTATTTATATTATGAAAAGTTTTTTTCCTTCTTCAAATATGAGAGAGAAAGTGTTGCTGGGTAAAGTAGTCTGGGTTGGCAACTGTGGTCTTTTGGAGTACATGGTACCAGTTTCTTCTGGCTTCAAAGTCTCCATCAGCAATTATTGTGATGTGTTTTACTTTATATGTGTCTTGTGCTTTTTTTCTTGCAGTATTCAGTATTGTCTTTGTTTGATGGGAGATGTCATTCTGTAAATATGTTTCTCTTATTGGTTAATGAATAAAGCACTGTTGGCAAATAGGAAGCCCCGAGAGCTAGGAGACAAGGAGGATTCTGGGAGATGTAGTAGAGAGGAGCTGAAATGTAGGACCAAGAGGAGTAAAAGGTCGGGACCCTTTTTTCTCTATGATAAAACCACGTGGAACTACTTATATCGATAGAAATGACTTCATATTTAAGACAGTGCTAGCCAATAAGAATCAGTAGCAACAGGCCAACAGTTTCATAATTAATACAGTGTCTCTGCGTGTTACTTTGGGACTGATGTGGCTCTGGGACAAGGCTGATGGGAAAGTGCTTGTAACATTTGTTCTGTATATTTAGTATTTTAATTTGATGTTGCATTGGGAATTTCTTTTCTGGTCCTATTTGGTGTTCTGTGTTCTTCTTGTATCTGCATTGTGTCTTTCCTTAGTTTGGGGAATTTTCTATAATTCTATTGAAAGTTTGTTCTGTGCCATTGAGATAGGATTCTTCTCTCTCATCCATGTCTGGGCTTCATAGATTTGGTCTTCTCACAATGTCTCCCATCACATTTCTTTTATCCTTTTCTGTGAATTTTTGTTGTTAAAGATAGAAAATATGCCAATTAAACTTTTTTATAAATCTTTTCCTTAGTCATTCTAGTTATGCTTTATTCTTTCTTTTCTTTTTTTATTATCCATAGATCTGTTAATGTCAGTCATTAAGAGAAAATGACCATCAGAGCTCCCAAAGGGTCTCTTTGGGTCCCAATTAGAGGTGTTGCACGTTTAGAATCACCTGAGAATGTTTCCAAATTGTCTGTCTCCCCAACCCCAGTGGGTTGGTATGTTTGTCTGTTTCTTTCAGTTACTGTGGGGCATATTTGTATAATAATTACTATAAAATCTATAAGTCAGTGATAGGTAGATAGCTGTTATTTGAGAGAACACTGTGACTAGTAAATATTTTTTCTCTTTTCCCATATTTTCTTGGTTTTTATCCCTCTTATAGCTCCTCATCATGTCCCCATTTCCTTGCCTATAACAATAGAAAATCAGAGAAGTCTATCAAATCAGAGCTGAGGCAGAGGGATTTTTTTAGGGGAAAGGAATAAATGTGTTAAGGTTTAATTTCCAGAACAAACAAACAAACAAACAAAAAATGTCTAAGAAACCAACCTCTGTAGTGTTCATGCTAACATCTGTTCCATGAATTGGGCAGAGACCTAGATATTGAAATAAAAGGCAAGACAGCAGGTCATTTGTTCAGTGGCAATGTCAGAATGCCAAATGCGATTTATTGAGGAGATGGAATGGGCTTATACAGTGGAAAATAATAGGATTTTTAGGCTTAGCTTCTCCCCACTAGGAGTGTGTTAGCAAAACAGGAAGAGTACCAATGACAACTCCAGGGCAAGAAGTTTTGTCCAACAGCTTCAGGCCTGTTCAAGGTGCCTTGGGGGTTCTTGCAGGCCCTATAAACCTCAGAATTAGTTTATGAGTAACAGTAATCTTTAGGCCAATTTTAGTTCAGTGATAAGTTTAGTTGAGTGTTTATTTGAGACAGTGTCTCACTGTGTGGCTTATATTGCCACCAAATTCTGAGCTTTTCAAGATTTTACCTCTCAGTGCTGGATTTATAGGATATGACACAGTGCCTGATTATGTTTCAGGAAAAGTAAATGGAACCAGAACCACAGATGTTGGGGTTCAACCTAAAGATCAGGGAAGCAAAGCAGCCAGTCTACCAAAGAGCTCTTACCTCTAACAGGGTTGGGATGTTCCTATTCTCAATGTAGATGAAGAATGAATGCCTCATACTGAATATTGAAGATCCTGCTTCTATCTTTTATACTCCTCTAGTGTTGGGATTAAAGACATGTGATCTGTTACTCTTTCAGACTGATTATCTTGTAGACCTGGGTGACTTTGGACTCACAGATAGCTCCATCTATCTCTTAAACTTGAGTCCTAGGATTAAAGGTGTTCTATGGTTTGTGGCTAACATTGTTTTTTGAATCCTCAGGAAATCTTTAATAAATCATAAATAATATATTACCACATGATTAAGTGTTGTTTAGTGTTACTTATTATACTGACTTTTAAATTTGTTTAGCAATATAGCTAGAAGGAACTAAACTTTTACAAGTAATCCATTTTGTGCTATTTTGACTAGTTTCATTTCAGCTCTGGTTTGGTACCCATGCTTTTCCTCTTCCTGCCATACCCATTATCCCATTTAATTACGAGTCAGTAAAGAAGCAACCTGTACCTCCTTCAGTGTTGGGAGATAGTGTGAGTGGGAGAGCCTCACTTTATTTCATGTGTGCTGTTTTACTTCCAGGAAATTATTCAGATAAATTATTTAGCTTGGTAAGAAAGGATACCTTATTTTCCTGGCCACTCCTTGGTTGACATCTGGCATAAATTAATCATGCTGATTAAGAATATATAGTGGATGTTCCAGGTTGTCCTCTGAGAAGATGCTGTAGCAAAAGAAGATACAGTGAAAGAAAGCCATAATTATATCTCTCAATAAGAAAAGGCAAAATGGAGATTATTTTGATGATAGAATAAAAAAAATGCTATAGAGTTTAAACATAAAAACTAGTAGAGTTGCTTAAAAGGAAATACTAATAAATTTATGAATATTGAAGTAATGTCTGTACCTGTCATTCAGTATGTGACAGGTGGTATTGATACAAATGACTAGGTCACTTTAAAAGGAAAAAAAATTACTATTTATTTGTGGGGGCAGTGAAATTCATGCCACAGTATATGTGTAACTCAGAGGAAAACTTGGGGACTCACTTTTCTCCTTCTAGCATCTGGGTCCCAGGGGAAAAAAAAAATCTCAGGTCATAGGCTTTGGTGGCATGCTTTCTTACCTGCTGAGCCATCTCTCCATCTCACAATCGTTTTTAAAAATATATTCAATTTTCTTTGTGGTTATTGTTCTAGTATGATCCTGTTTCTGTGACAAACATCAAAAGCAACTTAGGAGAGGAAAGGGTTTATTTGTTTTATACTTCCAGGTCACAGTGTTCCATTGATGGAAGTCAGGGCAGGAGCTCAGTAGGAACCTGAAGAGAGGATGGCCTGCCATTCTATGCAGCATTGTCTTCAATAAGGGAACTCACTTAGAGCCAAGGAAGCACAACAGAAATCGTGATGGGTGTTGCTCAATGATTAATCCTATGCTCATGTTTACCTGACTTTCTGATGTAGCCCAGGACCAATTGCCCAGAGAATAGTGTTGCCCACAGTGAATGAGAGCCTTTGCTATCAATTAGCAATCAAGATATTACCTCATAGACATGCTACAGACCAAACTAATAAAGGCAGTTAATTCATTGAGATTCATCTGTGTTATGGTGACAGTTAATCCTAACAAGGATAGTTACACCCCCCCCCCACCCATCCAATGAACACACATACACAATGCTTCTCATTGAAATTTTGGGAAAGTCAGGGAAATTTCAAACAGGGCTTTGTCCCACCTCCTTATTTGCTGAGCTAATCTCTGCTTCAAACTACAATACTCTTTCAGAGATCTTCCTATAATAGTTTTATAAATTGTGTGGATTTTATAACATTGGTCATGTTCTTCATACAATTTTACCCCAAGACATCTTGGCTCAGTTTTGTCACAATTATTTTCCTCCTTAAGGAACATTTGGAAATATAATATTGACAATTCTATCATGTTCTGTGAAATATGTGCCATAGTTTATTCTCATTCCTTCTTGTTGGACATGCAACCACCCATGGTCTTTCAGTGTTACGAATACACATGCAAAGCATTATGGGGCAAAAATCTCTGACCACATGTTGGTCATATCCTCAGGTTAGAGTCTTCATTAAAGAAGACTGCTTTGTATTAAACAGATTTCTTTAAAATAGAGCTGAATTTAAGATTTAATTTAAGATTATTTTATTCTTCAGTACAAGCATTTCAAGGCCAAGTTCATGTTTTCTAAAATTGCATTTTCTTTCTTTTTTGGCAAAGTGGGATTTTATCATTTTGAAAAATTATACTATATGTTGTGTTTTAATTTGGGATGCTTCATTCCATAACATTTCACTTTTTTGTTCATAGTCTCTCATATGTGGCCCTTCATTTGATGTAGCATCCATTATTCCATTTCTGGAGCCCCTCTCAGAAGATACTGTTGCTGGCCTCAGTGCTCATGTTCTATGTCATACAAGATTACAGGAGTATGAACAATGCATAGACACGTTGCTAGAGAGATGCCCGGAGGCAGTCATTGCATATGCTAATCAGGAACTGAAGGAAGAACACTGGGTATGCATCTCAGATTGTGCTTCTAGTCTTGATCAGTGGTTAGAAGACGGGGTAATTTTATCAGCTTATCTGCAGAATGAGGACTGTTTTTGTTAGTGTAACTTTACTGGGTTGTGTGTCCAAAGAAGATGTGTGTTTAATGTCAGAAATTTTGAGTACTTTTAGATGGTATTAAAATGCATGGGATGATCTATCATATCTTTTAGGAGCCCTAGTTTCTAGCTGAGATTAGTGAGTACTCGAAGGGCTGAGCAACATGTGTGTGGTGGGGAAACACCTTCCCTATATTGGGTCTTTGATTTAGCAATTAGTAGAGTTTTAGATTTAGCACTTTTTTGTTTATTGTTGCCAGCCAAGATAAAAGGACATGTCTGTGTTTTTCCTTGAAAATAAATGTGTACATGTATACCTCAAGTCATAGGCCTTTCCTTTTATTTGAGTTTCATCAGAAGCATAGCTTCTGATAAAAGCCATGTTTCAACAGAGGTGATTCCTTGGCCAAAGGATACATTTTTTGTTAGCTCTAGTCTGCACAGCCTTCTTACTCTCATAGAAATCTGAGGATAAGATGCAACACACTAAAATGTATTCATTTTCTCTAAGATAGATTCTGTGGTGGAAAAAACTGCTGCCTGAACTTTGTCAGAAAGTCAAGTGTGGTGGAGAGAAACACCAACTTTATCTGTCATCTTTAAAAGGTACAATTCTCTTTTTTGGACAATTATGAATTTCACTCTCAGTTTTAAGTAGGACAAGTTCTTGATTTCTCTAGTATTGCTTGTTTGTCTCCATGATATTAAGTGAGATACCAAGGTTATAGAAATTATCTGGAGTGTTTCCAGCTTTTGTATTGCCCCTTACATTTGATTCTCATTCAGCATGTATAGTCACAGAGCTGATGTCGTTGAAGTTATTATCACTTCCAGATTTTGGCAGATTATTGTCATGGAAATTCACAATTCCTGTATTTAAAGTATTATGGAAATTTGGAAGTTTAGCTTTTTAATTTACTTCATGTAGGAAATTAAGATTAGTAGGGGAGTGGAGAGATGGCTCAGAGGTTAGGAGCACTGGTTGACCTTCCAGAAGCCCTGAGTTCAATTCCCAGGTCACAACCATTTATTAATGAAATGTGGTACCATCTTCTGGCTTGCAGGCATACATGTAGACAGAGTACTGTTTTGGCTATCCTGGCTAGATAGCCAGCTTGCTCTGGGAATTCCCTGTCTCCTAATTCCCACACACTGTAGTTACAGATGGGCTACTGAGCCCACCTGGATTTTTATGTGGGTTCTGAGGCTTCCAGTCATTGTGCTCTCATGACAAATACTTTTCCTACTGAACCACATTCACATTTTACTGAAGCCCACATTTTCACATTTTACTTATTTATTTATTTATTTATTTATTGTGTGTGTGTGTGTGTGTGTGTTCATATGCATGCATACATGTTTGCGTGTGCTATGATGCACATCTGGTGGTTGGAAAAAAAACCTTTGGATTTTGTTCTCTTTACCTTTTGGTGGTTCTAGGGATTGAACTCAGGTCATTAAGTTTGTGTGGCATATACCTTTACCTGCTGAGATATCTCATTGCACCTTTCTGCTCCCTATTTTAATCTTTTCTTATCTTCAATTTCTCTAACTGAACCACACATCAAGCCATAAACACATTAATGGATTCAGAAAGGAAACCAAATGAGAGGTTAGGTGACATTTCCTATCAGTTAGGAGGAGCCTTTAAAATACTGTACAGAGGGCCTCACTGGTGTGAGAAGAGAATTGATCAGTGGTGACCTTTTACTGACTTTGTAACTGCTCAGTACTTACCCCAAGTAAAAGTTCTTGTATCCAGGCTACTACTTATAGGCTACACATTTAGGTAAATAATTAATAACTTATGTGTATCATAAGAATTTTGCAAACTAGTTAGTGGTTGCTGTTTATTAAGATCATCTTAAGTGTTAGAGAAGTATCCTGTTGTAATTCTCAGAGAACTCTTGAAGCTAACAAATGGTACCCAGGATATCATAGATGAGGATACTCACTTGGAAGGCTCAGTAACTTTTCATATGATTTACTTTTTTATTTTAAATCATATGTAGTTGTTAGGTGTGTCTGCATGTGGGTGTGTGCACATGAGAGCAGGTGACCTCAGAGACCTGAGGTGACAGGTGTGGAACTGGGATTACAGAATGTTGTGACATTTGATATGGGTGCTGGCAACCCAAACCAAGGTCCTCCGGAAGAGCAACAAGTGCTGCATGTAGGTTGAAGAGTATCCATGTATTCTCAGATTTATCTGATTGCAAAGCTAAAAGTCATGTGTCACTGCTGTAGAGTTCTTTAACTTCTTAGTGACTGGACAGGCTATCCCATTGTGTGAAGGATGATTTAGATTGCAGATGACTGAGTGGATTATACAGTAGCCCTGCAGATGGTTTGTAAGGAGCACACAGGAGATGATGCTGGAGTAGGGATAAAGGTGGAAGAAAATAATGCTTTCTAAGGAACACTATTCTTAGGAGAACAAGGTGGCATTCTCATTATTTATTCATTTTTGTTGAGTGAGGGAATGTGTGCATCTATGTGTACAATTCATTGTTCCTCAAGAGCTACCAGCCTCCTTTTGACACAGGGTTTCTTACTGGAAACTGGAGCCTACCAGCTGAGCTGACTGGCCAGTGAGCTGTGAGCCTCTACCTACCTATTTTTGCCTTCCCAGGTCCAAGATTGCAGGCATGCAGCAATGCTTGCCTTTCCTTTACATGGGTTCTAGGAATTGAATTTATATCTTCAAGCTTGTATAGCAAGCATTACACGAACTGAGCTATCTACTCAGCTCTCTGAAGTCATCGTTACTAGGGTAGAGCAACACCAACTAAGATGTAATAGAAACATAAAATTGTATAATTATCTATTTTAAAATGTTTGGCAACCCCACCTGCACACATTCTTTTATTGGTGCTGAGGAGTGAATCAGGAACTAGGCAAGAGCTCTATAATGCATCCCCAATCCCATTGAATTCCTTAATACTGAAAATATTTACTAGAGTACTTACCATTTAGAAGAAAAAAGTATATGATTATGGCAAAAGATTTATGCTTATTAATTACATGAAATGTCATTTATAGAGAGGAACCTATTTAGGCAAATGTTTCCTGGTAAATAATGGTGTTAATGTCCTACCAAACAATCTTTATACACTAGCTACAGTCCCAACATTAAAGCATCATCCAAGTGATTATATTTTTCATTAGAAAATTCTAGAATTGGATTAAAAGACAATTTAGCAATCTACCATGAATTAGTAACTCAAATTCCAAGGGCTAACTACAAAACAAAATGTGAAGGGCTCTAGAAGGAGTACATTAAGAAATATAAACTTGCCAGGCATTGATGGTGCACGCCTTTAATCGCAGCACTTGGGAGGCAGAGTCAGGAGGATCTCTGAGTTTGAGGCCAGCCTGGTCTAATTCTAGCACTTTGTTACTTGAAGGAACTTTGAATCATTAAGAACAAATTTGTAAAACAAATGGAAATGGACTTTAGTTGTAACTCGTGCATGCATTCTTCTTTCCCACAAACAGAAGCCTTGTCAGTCATTGCTGTGGGACTAGACCTGAAGGATTTCTTGAATGTTCTCCCAGAAGATGGTGCTGCAGCCTTTTTCCTGCCCTACCTTCTTTTTTGCAGCCGGAAGAAATCACTGACTTGAAGTTATCATTTATAATATATAAGTGACTGTACTTTCAATGCTCAGTCCTAGATAATATAATCCCAAAGGGTTTCATGTTAATGTGTATTGCAGCTGTTTTATGGTGCTTGCTTTCCTTACCATGTAATGATAGCTATTCACTTAATCTATAAGCTGAACCCACTTATTTGTCTAGAATGTAAAAAAACCTCAAGATAGAAAATCTCTTCACATGCATTTCCTTTTAGTTTTAATTGTTTTTACTCTGTATCCTATGTGGGCCTAGAACTCATTACAAATCTTGTGCTGACCTCAATCTATGCAAAACTCCCAAGTGTCACAGGTGTGAAGTGACATACAGGCATTTTCAAAGCTGGACAAAGAGTTCTGTTATGAATAATGTCACGTATTCAGTGCTGTCTACAACCTGTAGACAGGCATGACAATCCTGTCCATCCTAGAGTTACTGGAAGAAAATGCATTGCAAGTATGCGCAAATGCCCCTCTTGCTGATCAAACATTATATTCATCATTAGAGATTTTTTATTTGTATTATTATTTGCTTTTTTTTTTCATGTTATGTATGAGTAAGATGTAATGTTTCACTCTAGTGAAAGACTGCATACTTGGCTTTTGAGCTACTTTTGAAACTCATCGTGTGCTTCTCTCAGAATTAGATGAATGTACTTATTGGACAGTTAACATGGCTTGTTGAGTGTACATATTTTCAGTCAAAGTCTTGTTTCTATTTTTTATATGTATATACTCTCAATCTTTCAACCACAGTATGTGAGGAAATAAAAAAAACTATCACAATGTTCACATCTGTCTTTTTAATAACTTTCTTGTTTGTTGGTTGGTTGGCTTTTTGAGACAAGGTTTCACTGTATAACAGGCTTGGCTATCCTAGAACTAGCTGTGTAGACCAGGCTGGCCTGGATCTCCCAAAAATCCACCTGCCTCTGCCTCCTGAATGCCGACATTAAAGGTGTGGCCTACCACTGCTTGTCTAGTTTGGTTTGTTTTAAAGATGTATTTTTTTTTTATGTGTGTGTGTGCATGTCTGAGTTTATGTATGTTCATTGTGTGCATCCAGGTATCCAAAGAACCCAGAAGAGGGCATCGGGTCCTCTAGAACTGGAGCCACTCATATGGGTGCTGGGATCCGAACTTGAGGCTGCTACAAGAGCAGAAAGTATTCTTAGCCATTGAGCCCTTTTAGTAACCAACATTTTGTTGTAAATTGTAATGTTCAAGGCCAGCTCATTGCTAGAGCCTGTGAGCCCAGTAAGGTTCAGCAAAAATGTCTGCTTACTCACCAGTTTCTATAGAACGCTTACTTAGTCTTCTTACTGGCAGTTTCTTAATTTATTGTTCCATTATCTGAATTTTATTTTTTAAATTTAATACTATTGGACTCTATCTTTTTCTAGTTCCAGATAGCATCTTTTGGTCATCTTTTCAGATTTCTGTAAAACACAACTTGCTGTCTTCATTTGTCATTTTTTTCTGTACTCTTTAGCCCCACCCCTTTGCCCCATGATTTGTTAGAGCAATTGATGAGAAGGCAAGATTTAGAGACCATTCAGAGAACTTTGTAGTGATCCTGTGAGGATAGCCAAAGACAGCATGTGCTCATATGTTTATTTGGTGCTGTTTTACAAAATCCTAACAATGCAGGAATAAGTGAACTATGTGAAGCAGTTGTGTTACCCAGTGAACAAATACATGTCATGATTTGATCTGTCCATCAGACGGAATGCCAGTTCCCTCACAAATGAACAGTTACATGACTTCATTTTTTTTTTTAAATATGTTACAGCCAATCCAGCGTATGTGTTTTATTCAGTGTCACATACATCATTATGAATCATTGATCTTTTTTCCACTGATCACCAATTTCTTTCAGCCAGATTTAGTCTCTATAGAAAGAGAAATTTTAAGATGATTATTTAAAATAGTGTGTTTTATATGGTTAAAAAAGTCTGTACATGGATGCTTTACATATATTCTATTTTTAAAATACTAACTACTTTAATTTCTTAATTTATTTTTCATATGTTAAAAATATCTCACCCTAGGACTGCTTTAATTTAGGAAATTTGTTTTCTTCTTTGCAAAAGGTCCTAATTAATCATAAAAGAGAAAAATAGTAAATTCAGTGTGGAAAATCTTGGCAGATACCACATTCACCCAAAGCTCAAAGTTCAGCAATGATAGGCACATTAGGATATAAGGCTTTCTGCTAGAAGGAATGAGCCTGAGTCTGATAAGGAAATACTGAATAAATTCACATAGCAGAGTCTATAAGGTGACAATTGCTGTGTATTACAAAATGTCTCTGGAGGGTTTGATTCCCAGTACCTACATGTTGGCTAACAACTATGATTCAGTTCTAGGGGATCTGATGCCTTTTTTGGAACTCTGTGCACACCAGATCCACAGATATACAAGCAGACAAAACACCTCTGTACATAGAATTAAATATAAGACAAAGAGAAGTCAGTGATGTAAAAAACAAAAATGAGAAGTCTCCAAGGATCATTGTATGACCTGGGATTTTCTTTTTGTGTAAAGAACATGATGGAGTACATGGGGGCTGAGATGGGTCAAGGTGGGAAGAAGGAAGAAGAAAAGGGAGGAGGAACTGGGGTTGGGATGTAAACAAAACAAAACAAAACAACCTTTGCAATAAAAAGTTTATCAAATGAAAGTTTTTAGATATTAATATAAATTTAGATCTTCTCACCCTCCCTCCCTTCCTTATTCTTTCTTTTTTGGGTATGGGTATTTTGCCTGCATGGTATGTATTATCTGAACCCCACTTGAGAGCCTTGTACCCACAGACACAAGAAGAGGGCATTAGATCTCTAGAACTGTACTTTACGTTGTACAACTGGAGTTACAGAAGGTTATGAACATTTGGGTACTGGGAATTGAACTCTGGTCTTCTGGAAGAGCAGCCAGTGCTGCTAACTGCTGAGATATCTCACTCACTAGCCCTGCAAGCTTGTTTATTTAGAGTACTGGTCCTTCGCCTTCTTAATGCTATGATATTTTTAACACAGTTCCTCATGTTGTGGTTATCCCAACCATAAAATTATTTTCATTGCTACTTCTGTAACCTTGCTACTGTTATGAATCTTAGTATAAATATTTGTGTTTTCCAGTGGTCTTAGGTGACCCCTGTGAAAGGGTCATTTGACCCTACAATGGGGTCACAACCCACAGGTTAAAAACCACTGATGTAGAGACTTTTTTTCTTTGTATAGCCTCAGTGACTTTTTTACCTTGTTAATGTTATTGGCATTAAACCCAATAGTTCAGTCTTAAGTGGTTGTTCATTACCAGTAACTACCTTTTTATTTGTTTGTTTTGTCAAAAAAAGATGCAAGAACAAAGATAAAAAGTTTATTTACAATAAGGTGTAATGTTGAGTGACTTAGATTGCAATACATTCTGGGAAGACAGCTCAGTAGTAAAATTCTTTCCTAACATTTGCAAAATCATGGGCTCTGTCCTTAGGACCAAACACACACACACACACACACACACACACACACACACACACACACACACACACACACGTATGCACACACGCACACACGCACGCGCACACACATTCATACAAAAAGGTACACTCATGAACATGCATGGGCAAACATGAATTTACATGCCCACCTCTTTCTATTATTTTTAAGGAGGAAGCATATTCTGTATGTAACTTCCTCCAGTTAGATTAAAATTCTCAACTACACTGCTGGAATTTTACTTTTTTGTTTTTGGAATGTATTCACAAAAACATTGTTTATTTTTCTGTGCTTTGTGGATGTGCAAGTGTGTGTGTGTGTGTGTGTGTGTGTGTGTGTGTGTGTGTGTCTGTGTGTACCTAGATTTGTAAGAATTGAAGAAGGAATTTAAATTTTAGTTTTTCCCAGTCCCTTTAGAAACAGACCTTCTCTAGCAGCACAAAAACACAAAAAGAACTGTTCTGGCTGGTGACTGAAATATATTGGGCTGGTTCATGCTTCTATTATGTGGGAGGTACTACAGAGAAAAATGTTAAAGTTTTCTCTTAAAGAAATTAAATTCTAAATATTCATTTATAAGTCACATTGCTTTTTTGTTAAAAGAAATAATGTGATTGTTCCCTTACACCAGCTTAGGGTGTGATTACACTACAAAGTTAGTGTCCATTGTACACTTAGACATTCAATACCATTCTATCTGAAGTAAGTAATATCCCATTGACCTAGCATTAAAACATTCTATTTAGAGGTAGAGAAGGAAGACATCAGGGCTGAAAGTTCACAAGGACTTCATACAGAAAGATGTATTTAGACAAAGCAGAAATCTTAATTGCACTCATAATATATACCTAGAGTTACTATCTGGATATTCACCTTGATTTGGTAAGACAGTATAAGTAGTTTCCATTCCAGCATGAACATGGTCAGTCACGTGGCAGTGGAGTAACCAGGTTCCAGGTGTTTGGGGAAACATTTCTAGGGTTTGGTATGTTCCAGGGAAAAGGTCGAACACATCAGAACTGTAAATTCCCCCGTGCTTTATTAGAAAAATGATAAATATTTGAGTTTAGTCTTTCCTTGGCCAGCTCCAAGTATTAAAAAAACAAAACAAGAAAAAAAACATTAAAAAAAAACAAAAGACAAAAAAAAAAAAAAAAAAAAAAAAAAAAAAAAAAAAAAACCTGAATCCCCTCACCTAAAGTCTCAGCACTGTGGGCCATCAAGGGAGATGTGAAGGAGGACATTGGTTAATTAGGACTACTATGTCCAACACCATGATTCTGGCTTGCCTCTTTGTCAGAGACTTGAGCTACCCAAAGCAGCCAACTGTGGTGTCAATTGTGCTTGGATCTATTATAGTCTATCTTGTTTGTGAAATTGTAAGGCAAAGACAGTATAAAGGAAGCAGATAGAGAATTTAAATAATAGTGACAGTTCAGATATTCTCAACCCCTGTCACTGGCATATTTCTATGGAAATGAAATTGAAAGCCCATTATGATATATATATAGTACAGATTATAAAATAGATATTCTGAAAATGTGCCTTTTTCTTTTGGAAACCAGTGTATTTTCTACATTTAAAACTGGGAAAATGCATCTTAAGAGGACCATTGCTTTCACTAGATAGATGTTCTAGGGATGTGAGTTGCTTGACACCTAAGTGTTAATTCACCTAACCCAAGGTGAGAGGAGGCTGGTATAGCCATGAGACTGCAATGATGTTTAAGCTTCCCTTTTTTATAGATATTTCTGATGAAATGTATTCTTGGCTTAAATTAAAACATATTAAGCTGAACAAGAATGACTACTGTGGGAGGCTCTTACCTTGTATTGGAAGCTGTGGCCATGAAAATGTAAGGTGTGCAAGTCTATTTCATTGCCCATTCCCATCACATACCAATTGACTTCGTCTCCCACGTGCATTGTGAGGCCTTGTAGATTTCCAAACATTTTTCCATTAATAGCTGAGGAAAATTTGACACATTTTAGAATAGTTTAAACAAATAATGGCTTCTCAGAAATTATTACTAGGTCAATATAACAGAGCTTACTTCACCAATATCAGTGCTATTTTTCAATTTACTTCATATGAAAAGCCTTAATCCTAATTGTGAATTTATTTAAAAGCGGATGAGGGTTTGGAATTGGGAGAGGAATTAGTAAAGATTTTAAACATAGCCCTATTTTGGTTTTGAACAGAATTTTACATTACAATATTTTTAAATAAAACAGGCCTACAACATGATTTTCTTTGAAAGAAGAAAGGGGTCAAAAAGGAAAGTGGTTTAGAATAGTTAACCATACCATGCATTTTATTGCTTTCTATGAATTCCTCATCCTCTTTGTTTACTTTCTCAGGATGATCAGAGTATATTTTGATGT